CGTCACAAGACATGGACGAAAACATATACATAGGGGCTAAGGTAGACATGTTTATATATGTATATATGAGATTACTAAATGGATTATTCTTTATTAATAAAGTGCATGAGAATTTTCTAACCATAACTAATGGGTGGAAAGTGATCGATGAATAATATCGAGTTTTAACAAATATATAATATGAAGGCAATATTGATTCAGACGAATGTACTTTATCCTAAACCAAGGAGTTTCCACTGGTAGACAACATGAACGAAATACTAAACAAAACTAGGGTAACACTCAATTTTAACATAAGTTACGTTAAGAAATTTAGAAATACATAGTGTGTTGGTTTTGTAATGTAACGTCAATAATAAAATCATGAAAACTTTCAAAGATTGGTAATACTCGGGATCAAGGAACCCAAAATACATTTAAAGAGTTTATAGATGGAAACAATAACACAGCACGTTGACAATGTACATAGTTATGCAACGATTCATGAGCATTATATCAACCATACAAATATTGCAACTTCACAACTGAGACTGAAGTTGATTGCTCTAGCCTAGTCATCATCAAGAATAAACTTACAAGTCTGGCTCACATTCACACTTTGTGTGAACCCTGAGGAGAACAACCGTCTTCTATTGAAGCCAAAGTAGGGGGGGCGGTAAAGCAGAGTAAAGTTAAACACTTTAACTACCTAGTTAGATCATGTATTCCATGTATTAAGAATATCAAAACTGTGATTTATAACTTCAGTCACATATCAAATTGTGTCATGAGGAAGATTTTAAAAGTCAGTTTGCGAATTGTCAAGTTGAAGGAATTCATTGCTAATCGATAGATGACACACAATTTGGTCACGTGATAATCGCTTGTGAGACCGATCAATTGACATATGTCCGTAATCGCATTGATAGCAAGCAGATGATAGGTCATTCGCATTTCAATTAAGTAGTAGGACCTTTTTCGTTGTCATAATTACACTGAATTAAAAACCCGAGAAAGTAATAAATAAATAATATGACATGTGCGAATGAACTCTGATGGTCAAATGTTAAATTTGATTTGTGGCCGAGTAAATTAATGAACTTGTGTTTCACATAACATTTGGTCATGTTTATTATTTTGCATAGGACTTTGTCATTTTACTAAGAGTAATTAGAACGTGTTCTATGGGTCTGTGATGTGTCTTATGATATGAGTTTATTTAGAGAGGCCTTTGTCAACAAGTTGATCATCTTGTATAACCGAATAGTAACACTTGTCTTAAGAAAAAATTAAAGTCAAAGTCGAATATTTAAATGTTTCACTTCATAAATGATTTGATCAACAGCATAAATATAAAGCGCACCTAGTAATTTATACAACAAAAGACATAGAAAACAAGCTTACATTATTCAATACAGAATTTGCGCCAATTATATAATCTGTATATGGTTTAAGTCCAGCCAAATCTGCTGGTGATTTAGGCTCTACACTTAATACATGCCATACATTTTCATTAGCTCTTTCAAATGAACAATATCGAATACTGACACCCATCAAACCTTGACCACCCCAATGATTGTTAGGTATGAGAGTTACTTCACGACAAGATTGTGATTTAGTTGAATAGACAAGTAGGCGAACAGGTTTATCTTTACTGGCTTGTAATAAGTCTTTAATACAATCATTATCTTCTTCCTGAATAAATAAATAAATAAAAATGAGCAAATAATAAAAAGAGGTAATGAAATTTATTTAGCTATGCACTTATATGTTGAAAATGTATACTTTTCTATTCAACAGGAATGTGGGTTTGTGGAATAATCGCGATCTATGTTTGGGTTCAAAATTAGTCACAGCGATTTAGGTGCATTTGTTATGAATAGGGAGCTAGTCAGTCAGTCAGATGCAACGTAGAACTTTGTACATAAGTACATCAGTTCATGTTGCCATACCACATCAGCACAGAGAAGTAATCGTCAATTCAAATCCAATGGTAGAAGAGGTAGTAAGGGAATTAGAAGTAATCGGAGAGGTTAGGATTAGAAGATACTACTCAAGAAGTATGATTCAGTGAGAAAAGTTTAGAGAGTCGAAACTAGAGGGGTTGAAGAATCCAGAAGATTAGGATTTGAGAGAACACAAAGAATAAATGCACCGGCGCCATTGCGAACGATTTTGAGCCATGTCATTCAAGGTCTCTAACCATCGATTATTATCATCTCGCGGACCCCAACCAGGTAATTGTCGACTACCTGGTTGGGGTCCGCGAGATGATAATAATCGATGGTTAGAGACCTTGAATGAATAGGGCGCTAACTGACAGTTGAAAGAGTCACAAACAAGAATTCTAGTCATAATCTATCTTGCCCATGTGAACTAATTCATCCGGAGCGTAGTACCACTCTAAGCTTTGATCAATGATACGCTTCAAATGATAAAACCAATTCAATATCTAATCGAACTGACAGAGAGGACATAAAATAGACTGAATTTATTCGAAGAAAACCCTAAATATTGATTTTAATCGTTCTGTGCCAAAATGAAAGAATAGTTTGGACAGTCTCTGTAAACATTTACTATCTATAAAATATTATAAAGTTTTGGTATTAGTAATTGAGCATTTTTAACTTTCATATACTTTAAGTTGTATTTCAAGACTACAACAAGTTACAGTTGAACTAGGAATGTAGGCGAATAGTAATGTGAGCTTTTGGATTACCATATTGAGACATTTTTTTCAGAAAATATGATGATCTCTTAAAATAACGTAAACAAACAAATACTAATTCTGCTACTTACCAGACGTTTATCGCCAATTGCAACAATGAAATCGAAAAATGCTTCCAAACCAGCTTGATGACCAGGTGAACCGTCTTGAACCTAGGTAAATTAGATTTTTCAACAGGATAAACATGTTTTCACAAAGACAGCAATTAAAGATTACTTCGGTTTACTGACAATTGTCGTTTATTCGAAAGTGGCTAAAATAAAGTACCGAAGGACGCAATTTATTTTCTAAGTATAGATTTATGTATTCAGCTATGAGCGCCATTAATTGTGTGATCGACTGTGATACTATCTGGCTGTTTATACAGAAGTACGAGTAGGGTATATTAAGCCTATGACCTACTCGTTGAAGCTGAATGCTTTAATCACTAGGCTGCCTCACTTGTACTGAAATAAAGAACCATTAATTGTTTTCAGATTTGAAGTACAACAGAGACGTTTCCAAACATTCGAGTCCCAGCTATAATTTATAAGTGACAAACAGTTGATTTAACTTACATTTAATAAACGACTAAAGTAAGCCCGCAGTGGACTGCATAAAATAAATTGAGTAGCTCCAACGATCAGCTAATTATTAGAAGCCTATATCATCATTCGTTACATAACTGAGAGACTTTCAGACACTACTGATGTCCTAGAATTGCTCTAACCGACAACCATCTAGGAAAGTTGTACATCATGCTTTTAACTGATTTATGTAATTCGATACATTGACGTTAGTCAACAGTCACTTTATCATTTGATTTATTTATTCAAAGACATACATTGGTACAAAGGGGAACAAAAATATATAGGCGCCGCATAATTAGTCAGTCAGTTGCAACGTAGAACTTCGTACGTATGTACATAAGTTCAAGTTGCCATACCACATTAGCACAGAAACGCAAATTTCGAATCGAAACCCATAAAGATAGAGATAGTAGAGGTATTAACGGTAATGAAGAAGACTAAGGTTTGAAGATATTATTCAAGAAGTGTAATTCAGTGAGATAAGGTTATAAAGACAAAGGTAGAGGTGCTGACGAATCCAGAAGATTAGGGGTTGTGAAAAATGAGTATAATAAAGATCATAAGAATGAACATAAATTAGGACACGAGAGTAACAATAACAATAACGATGATAATGCAAATGCATTTTATTACGACCCATATCTGGTGTCTCAAGCCTTTGGGTTGTACCATTTCTAGGACCGCAACACATGAGTCATGAAAGACTAGAAGATGAGTCCTATTCAGCTTTCTTTCGCACCACAAAACCATGTCATACACTGACGAGTACTCTGATTTTCTGATCAGTCCTAAGGTCGAAAAATAATGGACGGTGTGTAATTCGCTGGGGAGATCGGTATTTCAAGATGGTGACACCGACTGAATCATTGTCACTATGCCAGAATTCACGTTCCCAAACCTTAGCATTACTAATATGGTGTTGCTACCTAATTTCAACAGTCTTTCGGAAATAATGATGATCAAACACAGGGAGTTGCTGACCTTCCCCAACTAGGAAAGGTCAAGTTTCACAAACATAGAGCGAAACTGCTCTTAACAACTCATTGTAGACCTGATCTTTTACAGTTAGACAAACATCACGAAGGCTTCAAAGATAGCCGTGATTAGCGTAATCACTCCGGTTTTCGTCTTACGTAAACTATTCTCACCACTCACACCACTACCGGCACTTACACAACTACCCAGATACACAAACTTCTCGACTACTTCTACCCGTTCACTACCAAGATTAAGTGCATGTTCAGGGTCCTGTCAGTCTTTCTTAGTACTTAGTGTTTAAAAGGTGCAAAGCACATGCCTATGAACACTGATTGCCAAATACTTAGGTGCAAATCGCATGGCTTGAGAATTACCCCACAGTGAGACAATATCATCTGCATACCTACAGTCGGAAAGTCTCTCTCCAGGTAAAGGATCAACATCATCAATCAATCAAATAAATAGCGACGTAGATATTCGTACGTACGTACGTACAGCAGTTCATTTTGTCATACCACATTAACATAGAGATGTAATTGTCAATTCAAATCCAATAGTAGTAGAGGTAGTACAGGTATTAGCAGTAATCGGAGATTAGGGTTAGATATTATTCAAGAAGTAGAATCTAGCGATATAAACTAAGAAAGAAAGCTTAAGATTTAAGAGAACAGAAAGAATGAATGCACCTGTGCCTCCAGACAATTCAGGGTTACTGTCGGTCCCAAGCCCAGATAAAGGAGGGGGATTGATATGTGTGTCGGCGACCCAATCCTGTAAAAAACTAACTTGCCAAAAAAGCTAACAAGAAAAAATGATTCAAAACAATATAAACTCGACTCTGGGAGTCAGGTCTTCATTTAGAAGAATTAGGAAGTCTCATGATGAAAGCCGAGTTCCTTCAGAAGTCATGAGGCCGACGCCCCTTTTGACAAACAGAACCCTCCCACGGTGTATCTGGGAAGTAACATCAGCCCTCATACCTATGGAAGCCCCGACCGAAGCTGCTACCTTGACGTGGTGGTCGGGCTTGCCTATCGTGATGACCCAACCGAGCTATACTGGCTGGAACATATGTTCCTGCAGGTCCTACCATGCCAGGCTGGTCGATTGGAGAACGATGAGACTAAAAGCAGCTACCCAAGGTCTGAGGGCGAAGTCGTACTGCTGACTGCAGAGGGGTGTGACAGCAGTAAGGTGTTTCCCTCGGACAACCAGCATCTGCAGCGATGCTGCCTTCTCACAAGGAAGGAAGGGTTAGAAAAGGTCGGCCCTAAAAATGTCACACTCCCCCTAACTCACGGATTTCCGTCTCCTTGGGTAAGGGTGCCCGTTAAGGGCCTTTAAGAACGGAGCTAATCCTCAAAAAACTTCTCATAAAAAGGCCGTGCGTGACCGGCCTCAAGCAGTTGTCCCTTGGGCTCTGCGGTCACGCACCAACACTAATCTATCTTCCTTTTCAGGTCCCTCAAGAAACAACCTTCCACGGTGTGGGCAGCCGGGAAGTGACAACCGCCCTCATACCCGTACCAGCACGCGAGACCAAATTGGTCAAAATCAAATCCTTCCTACACCCCCTCATGTCTCTCTTATCTCTACGACTAACTGTACTCACACTCCCTTTTCTCACTGCACCGCTAATGCAGACGAAGCGAGATCACGAAACGTCGTTCCTGGTCTCTTGAAACCCCGTTCTAGACTACATATTGGAGCTTTTAATGTACGGACATTGTGTCAAATAGGGCAACAGGCATCATTAGCTAGGACTTTAGAAACTCGTGCCATCGATGTATGCTGCGTCTCGGAAACGCGCATACAGGATCCTAGTAAAGTCATTAACCTGATTCCACCTTGTCAAAACGAAGAAGCAGCTCGATTTACTCTTCGGGTATCCGGTAGCCCTGATGCTGCTTCCAGGGGTCTTGCTGGCGTAGGCATAGCGTTGAGTCCTAGGGCAGAATTATCTCTCCTAGACTGGATCCCAGTAGATAGTCGTTTGTGCGCTGTCCGACTAAACGGGACAGTAAGGACTCGTAAGGATAGGGACACTCGCCGTTGCCTCTTCGTCATATCTGCCTATGCCCCCACTGACTGCAGTGCAGACGAGGTTAAAGATGAGTTTTACAGAAAGCTTTCGGACCTCCTCCAAAAAGCTAAGCGCTCTGACATAGTAATAATGGCTGGTGACTTTAATGCTCAAGTAGGTAGACTAGGTGAAAAGGAAAGACATCTTGGTGGATGTTATAGTGTAGCGACTGAGAGAACAGACAATGGCGACCGTCTGTTGCAACTATGCTCAGATAACCGCCTATTCTTAGCGAACACCAACTTTAGGCATAAGGAAAAGCATCTGTTGACCTGGCGACCTCCAAAGTCGTCTCAACGTTGGACTCAACTAGATCACATCGCCATCAGCCACCGATGGAGGGGTTCGATAGAAGACTGTCGCTCGTTCTGGAGCACATGTTTGGATTCAGATCATGCTCTAGTGCGAGCTCGTATCTGTTTAAGGCTTACTGGACGTAGGAAAGACACCGTAAGAAAGCCTCTCAGGGTTTTACTTAATGATAATCAAACCAAGAAAATATTTCAGGAGCAACTAGAAAGAGAGTTAAGCAACCATGCAAGCGATTCCCATCCAGAAGCAGGTTGGTATGATATCAAAAAGGCTGTGGAAACAGCAGTGATATCTGCTAGGAAGGTAAACCATGAGGCTAGGATGAAGCCGTGGATTTCAGTCGCATCCACCGAACTGATGGATGCTCGAAAACGCATCCCACCTGACTCTGAGCATGATGAAGAGCGTAGTCAGCTTAGGCGCAGACTTATAAAAAGTCTGCGTAACGACCGCGAACAGTGGTGGGTGGCGAAAGCAAAAGCGATGGAAAAGGCAGCGGCGATAGGCAACACTAGACAACTTTTCCGCCTTATTAAAGAAACCGGTATTAAGAACCCGAATGTGAGTGAGACTATCTCGGAAAAGGATGGTCTTATTATCCATTCTCAATCCAGGAGACTGGATCGATGGGCAGAACACTTTAGGGATCAGTTCAACTGGCCACGAGCCACTCTTCGGTTACCCACGATCTCCAGTCATCCTGAATGGCAAATCGACCTAAGTCCCCCTAGTCTTAATGACGTTGAGAAAGCGTTAGGAAATCTGAAACGAGGACGAGCTGCAGGTCCTGATAGACTGACCCCTGAGATATTTAAAGATGGTGGTCCAGTTTTATCAGCTAGGTTGACTGAGATCTTAGGTAGAATCTGGGAACTGGACGTAATCCCATCCGACTGGTCTCAATCCTTGATTGTCCCAATCTATAAGAAAGGACAGAAGTCTTCTTGTGACAATCACAGGGGAATAAGTCTAACTAATATAGTATCTAAAATATTGGCCTCAATAATACTTCGACGCTTAACGAAAGCTCGTGAAGAGCAGACTCGAGAAAACCAGTCTGGTTTTCGACCTGGACGTGGCTGTATAGACCACATTTTCACACTACGACAGGTCCTGGAACATAGACATACATTTAGGCGTCCTACAATAGTTGTTTTCCTAGACCTTAAGGCGGCATTTGACTCTGTTGATCGTAAGGTTCTGTGGCAGTGTCTGTCATTGAAAGGTGTACCAAAGAAGTACATTAACCTTATACAAGCTCTTTACTCGAACACCACTGGTCGAGTGAGGGCTTATGGCGAACTGTCACCGGAATTCTCTACATCAAGTGGTGTCCGTCAGGGATGTCCACTTTCTCCATTCTTGTTTAATTTTATCATAGACATGCTCCTAGAGTTAACATTATCCTCGTCTGAATTTTCAGGAGTAGACCTTCTACCAGGTGGCTCGCTTATTGACTTAGAATATGCCGATGACATTGTCCTACTTGGTGAAGACGCTGACAAAATGCAGAGTCTTCTGACTACCCTAAGCAACAATGCAAGCATGTTCGGGATGCGGTTTTCCCCCTCGAAATGCAAAATGTTGCTTCAAGACTGGGTTGCATCGGCACCTGAACTAGTGATAGGGAGTGAAGTAGTCGAACGTGTAGACCGCTTCACTTATCTTGGGAGTCTCATCAGTGCCGATGGCCTGGTGACTGACGAAATCTCAGCACGGATACAGAAGGCTCGATTAGCTTTTGCCAACCTGCGTCACTTATGGCGTAGGCGAGATATCCGTTTGCTGACTAAAGGACGAGTGTACTGCGCAGTAGTTCGCTCCGTCTTACTTTATGGCTGTGAAACATGGCCAATGAGAGTAGAAGATATTCGTAGGTTACTGGTTTTCGATCATAGGTGTCTTCGAAGCATTGCTCGTATATCGTGGGACACCCGAGTGAGCAACGCTGTTATTAGGAAACGGGTGCTAGGTAAGAATGGCAGATCAATCGATGAAGTATTGAAACTTCACCAGTTGAGGTGGTTGGGACATGTGTTGCGTATGCCCAACCACCGACTGCCTCGTCGAGCCTTGTTTTGTAGTGTGGGAATAGGTTGGAAGAAAGTTAGGGGCGGCCAAACCAAAACATGGCAGAAATCCATGAAGTCATTGACTAGTGGACTGAGCCATGTCGGTAATTGTCGACTACCTGGTTGGGGTCTACGAGATGATAATAATCGATGGTTAGAGACCTTGAATGACATGGCTCAGAATCGTTCGCAATGGCGCCGGTGCATTTATTCTCTGTGTTCTCTCAAATGCTAATCTTCTGGATTCTTCGACCCCTCTAGTTTCGACTCTCTAAACTTTTCTCACTGAATCATACTTCTTGAATAGTATCTTCTAATCCTAACCTCCGATTATTTCTAATTCCCTTACTACCTCTTCTACTATTGGATTTGAATTGACGATTACTTCTCTGTGCTGATGTGGTATGGCAACATGAACTGATGTACTTATGTACAAAGTTCTACGTTGCATCTGACTGACTGACTGACTACCCATGGAAGCACACGAGACCGAATTGGTCACAATCAAATCCTTTAAAAGATCCACACCGTCATCACCTACATTCCTTAGAGCCATTTCGAAAGCGTCACCAGTGGCAAAGTTGAAGAGTGATGAGGTTGGGAAAATTTATTCAACCCAGCTGATTGAGTGAAGCGACGGAGAAAGGTGGCGTGATGGTTACACGGAGCAGACTGACGTCCCTCAGTAAGTTGTATGGAGTTTGTAAAAACCCAGTGCTTAAAAGTGGGGAGCTCCACGAAGTCACAGGTGGCTTCACTCGCCATGTTTAGTTACTGCCAGTCTCTAGAAATCATTCAACTGGTGGTCGAAATCATCCATAATTACATACGGGCTGCGATCAGTCAAGACGAGATACTGACCACATTTATTTGACTCCAGTACACGCCATCCTGCCTGGCCTGGATAAAACGAGTGTACAACTACATAATTTGCTGTAAACGTGACGCTTGGATAAATGCATGGTATTTATTCTGAACGAGAGGACGTGAACATCATGTTCAGCTACTCAAGGTGTCAGATTACTTGACAGGCTACAGCCCACATCAAATTTTAGCCCTCTATACTTGTTTAGCCGCTTTTTGCAGGTGACTGATGGAAATGAACCTTAATAATTAGTTTACTAAGATAAGTATGTATCCGTAGCTATTTTATTAGGGGAAATAACTGTGGCGCGTAACCATGTCAGAACCATGTGCAAATTATTCTAGCAAATAACAAGTTCTGAAACGAATGAATTTCGAACAATCACTTCTGACATTCTCTGAACGTCAGACAAAAACATTTCGGTTCAGATAAGCTATTCGTAATACCTGTTTCATTAATGATGACTCACGATGAGGTCCTACAAGTACAAGCAGCTCAGCAGTCTACTTACCCGCAGTACATGATAATCAGATGTTCCACCACCGGGGATGGGCGCACTGGCAGAACCGCCCATAATTTGATTACGAGTACAAAAACGAGTGCTGAAGTAATACAAAAAGCCCGGCCTAATTGGACACGTGAAACCCAACAAATAGTGCCAAGGAATGCTGTAATATCAAATTTATTTGTCACAATCTGTTGAATGCTAATTAACTTCTCAACGTTTGCGTCTTATCACTGGTTTTAATAAAAGCAGTGAAGTCATTCGACTCCATTAACTGCAAGTTATTTCAAGGTTACAGAAACATTTTTCTAATCGACTGTGTTTTTCAGGAAGCACTGACATTACTATGACTGGCAGTTGTCATTTTACTGAAAAGAAGGCAATTCTATTTCAGTATGAAAATTGAAACTTAAGGAGTAGAGTGACTGAGAGTTCAAGGGTCAAGAGAAAAAGTTATCAGCCAGACGAATGAATTAATGGACCGAGATGTGAAAACAGTGTAAAAAAGATTGAAAAGGGGAACAATTTAGAATGACAGGAAGGATGTAATGATGATCAGCTATAGAGAGCTTTATCTGTAAATGAATCCTAAAATAAGTAGTTTTTAGTGTCAAATAGATCCCAAAAAGAATAGTTCTGTGGATCATCAGTGTTGAGATCACATTTTTATGTCTACCATTAGTGTTTCCGAACAATACGGAAGCCTGAAAAATCATTCCTAATCGTGGAGACCTAATCGACTGACAAAGGTTAAGCCAATTTTTCCACAACGCCGAAACGAGACAGCTCGGAAACAGAAAGAAAGAGTCCATCGGGCAATTAAATTTCTGTGAGAGCCTTTTCCGAAAACTCATTCTGTCTAAGCGTTTCCGTTTGGTAAGAGCTGTTCTCATCTTACTCCATAGTAACGCCCAGGACAAATTAGCTGCATTTGCAAACTAGGCTCCCGAGACCACCAGGCTATACAAAACCAGGTTGGACGAATCAACCTTACAAACGTGTATTTGAAAACCTTCATTCCCCTTATCTGACTCCACCCAATAAAATCTCATTTTGATATTTGACGAACGAAAGAACCAGATTTGTAGATGATTGACAATGAAGAGGAACAGTAAAGAGGTCAGTCAGTCAGTCAGTTGCAACGTAGAACTTCGTACGTATGTACATAAGTTCATGTTGCCATACCACATTATTAGCACAGAGACGCAAATGTCAAATCAAATCCCATAGTGATAAAGATGGTAGAGGTATTAATGTTATAATAAAGAAGACTAGGGTTTAAGATATTATTCAAAAAAAATATAATTCAGTGAGATAAGGTTAGAAAGACAAAGGTAGAGGTGCTGGCTAATCCAGAAGATTAGGATTTGAGAGAGCTCAAAGAGTGGATGCACCTGCGCCATTGCAAACGATTTTGAGCCATGTCGTTCAAGGTCTCTAACCATTGATGACTTTCGTCTCGCGGACCCCAACCAGGTAGTCTACATCTACCAACATGACTCAGTCCACTTGTCAGTGACTTCATGGATTTCTGCCATGTTTTGGTCTGGCCGCCCCTAACTTTCTTCCAACCTACTCCTACACCACAAAACATAGCTCGTCGAGGCAGTCGGTGGTTAGCCATACGTAACACATGTCCCAACCACCTCAACTGATGAAGTTTCACCACTTCATCGATTGATCTGCCATCCTTACCTAGTACTCGTTTCCTAACGACAGCATTGCTTACTCGGCTGTCCCACGATATACGAGCAATGCTTCTTAAACATCTATGATCAAATACTAGTAAAGTACGAATATCTTCTACTCTTACCGTTCATGTTTCACAGTCATATAGTAGGATAGAGCGAACTACTACGCAGTACACCCGCCCTTTGGTTAGCGAACGGATATCTCGCCTACGCCATAAGTGACGCAGGTTGGCAAAAGCCAATCGAGCTTTCTGTATCCGAGCTGAGATTTCGTCAGTCACCAGACCGTCAGCACTGATGAGACTCCCCAGATAAGTGAAGTGATCTACACGCTCGACTACTTCACTCCCTATCACTAGTTCAGGTGCCGAAGCAACCCAGTCTTGAAGCAACATTTTGCATTTCGAGGGGGAAAACCGCATCCCGAACATGCTCGCATTGTTGCTTATGGTAGTCAGAAGACTCTGCATTTTGTCAGCGTCTTCACCGAATAGAACTATGTCATCGGCATATTCTAGATCAGTAAGCGACTTTCCTGGTAGAAGGTCAACCCCTGAAAAATCTGACGAGCTTAATGTTAACTCTAAGAGGATGTCTACGACAAAGTTGAACAAGAATGGAGAGAGTGGACAGCCCTGACGGACACCACTTGATGTAGAGAATTCAGATGACAGTTCGCCATATGCTCTCACCCGACCAGTGGTGTTCGAGTAGAGTGCTTGTATAAGGTTAATGTACTTCTTTGGTACACCTTTCAATGACAGACACTGCCACAGAACCTCACGATCCACTGAGTCGAATGCCGCCTTAAGGTCCAGGAACACGACTATTGTCGGACGTCTAAATGTGTGTCTGTGTTCCAGGACCTGTCGTAGTGTGAAGATGTGGTCTATACAACCACGTCCAGGTCGAAAACCAGACTGGTTTTCTCGAGTCTGCTCTTCACGAGCTCTAGTTAGACGTCTAAGTATAATCGAGGCTAACAATTTAGAAACTATATTAGTTAAACTTATTCCCCTGTGATTGTCACAAGAGGACTTCTGTCCTTTCTTGTAGATTGGGACAATTAGCGACTGAGACCAGTCAGATGGGATTACGTCCATTTCCCAGATTCTACCTAGGATCTCGGTCAGTCTAACCGTTAAAACTGGACCACCATCCTTAAACATCTCAGGGGTAAGCCTATCGGGACCTGCCGCTCTACCTCTCCTTAGATTTCCTATAGCTTTCTCAACTTCATGTAAACTGGGAGGACTTAAATCGATTTGCCATTCAGGATGACTGGAGATCGTGGGCAACCGAAGAGTGGCTGAAGGCCAGTTGAACTGATCCCTAAAGTGTTCTGCCCATCGGTCCAGCCTCCTAGATTGAGAATGGATAATAAGACCATCCTTTTCCGAGATAGTCTCACTCACATTCGGGTTCCTAATACCGGTTTCTTTGATAAGGCGGAAAAGTTGTCTAGTGTTGCCTATCGCCGCTGCCTTTTCCATCGCTTTTGCTTTCGCCACCCACCACTGTTCACGGTCGTTACGTAGGCTTTTTATAAGTCTGCGCCTAAGTTGAGTACGCTCTTCATTATGTTCAGAGTCAGGTGGGATGCGTTTTCGTGCATCCATCAGTTCGGTGGATGCGACTGAAGTCCACTGCTTCATCCTAGCCTTATGGTTTACCTTGCTAGCAGATATCACTGCTGTTTCCACAGCCTTCTTTATATCATTCCAACCTGACTCCGGATGGGAATCACTTGCATGATCGCCCAACTGTTTTTCTAGTTCCTCCTGAAATATTTTCTTAGCTTGATTATCATCAAGTAAAGCCCTAAGAGGCTTCCTTACGGTGTCTTTCCTACGTCCAGCAAGCCTCAAACAAATACGTGCTCGCACTAGGGCATGATCTGAATCTAAACATGTGCCCCACAACGAGCGACAGTCCTCTATCGAACCCCTCCATCGGTGGCTGATGGCGATATGATTTAGTTGTGTCCAACGTTGAGACGACTTCGGGGGTCGCCAGGTCAAAAGATGTTTTTCCTTATGCTTAAAATTAGTGTTTGCTAGAAATAGTTGGTTATCTGAGCACAGTTGCAACAGACGGTCGCCATTGTCTGTTCTTTGAGCCGTGAGACCGTAACATCCACCTAGGTGTCTTTCATTTTCACTTAATCTACCTACTTGTGCATTGAAGTCACCAGCCATTATAACTATATCAGAGCGCTTAACTTTTTGGAGGAGGTCCGAAAGCTTTCTGTAAAACTCATCTTTTACATCATCTGGGCTGCAGTCAGTGGGGGCGTAGGCTGATATGACGAAGAGGCAACGGCGAGTGTCCCTATCTTTCCGAGTCCTTACTGTCCCGTTCAGTCGGACGGCGCACAAGCGACTATCTACAGGGATCCAGTCAAGGAGAGATTGTTCTGCCCTACGACTCAATGCTATACCTACACCGGCGAGGCCCCTAGAAGCAGCATCAGGGCTACCGGATACACGAAGGGTAAATCGAGCTGCTTCTTTATCTTGACATGGTGAGGTCAAATGAGTGATGCTACTCGGATCCTGTATGCGCGTTTCCGAGACGCAGCACACATCGATGGAACGAGATTCTAAAGTCCTAGCTAATGACGCCTGTTGCCTTATTTGACACAATGTCCGTACATTGAATGCTCCAACATGTAGTTTGGAACGGGGTTTAAGGAGACCAGGAACGACGTTTCGCAAACTCGCATCGTTTGCATTAACTGTGCACTGTAATAAATGAATGTGAGAAGAGTTAGTTGTGGAGATAAGAGAGGTATTAGGGAATGTAGGAAGGATTTGATTTTGAACAATTTTGTCTCGTGTGCTGTTGCATACGTTAGATATGGTTTATTAACCTCAGTTTGTAAACTTACAAACTAACTGGTATTTCGTGTCTTCTTTTGAATCTATATCTAGTTTTACCGTCGCTCGGTTTGATGTCCAACCAAGCACTAATGTTTTGTTTAGTCATGAATAGGAGTGTTAAAATATAAATTATTCTATAAACTATTACATAATTGACAAAAATCAGATTCAGTAGATAATTATAGGGCATAGTGTAATTGTTATGTTGTGTGTTGTTTGAGAGCTGATGTCAATACGCTCTCTTTTCGCACAAAATATAGGTCATTCGAAACAGAAACAACGGGGAACAAGGAGTGACGTTTATCTAAACTAAACATATTCAAGAAACAACTAAATGCCTTTTTGTATTCATGCGTCTGTTCCTTAAAAAGTTAACTGGTTTAGTGAATAATGTCTCACGCCTAGCAAAATAAGGCTATTCCTTAATCAGTCACACGTACATATTTTCAGGCAGTTTCTAAAGTGTACAATGTAAAGACGTATCCTCATGTGGTAACTATTGATCGCTCTACTGTATCAGCAATTTACTAACGCCAGTATCATTCTAATTACTTGTTTTAGCATACAGGAAAAAACTTCATCAAAAGGTAGTAGGTATTTGATTTAATAATCGGAAATTAAGTGCTTTAACAATTAAATCACTAGAACTGGGCAAAACCAGCTTCTTTCTGAATTGGAAATGACAGAAACAAAAAGTTTGTCAGATAAAAGCATCAGTTGTTACTCAGTTTGTTTATTTCACTTGCTTGTTCTACTGATTAAAAGGAAGTAGTGGTACACAACTATTATATATTTGTATATATATATATATATATCGAAGATTATAATAAACAAATAAACTAAAAATCGTTTTACTGTTATCCGAAAAACAAATCACATTTGCATTAGATTCATTTCAGCTTGTAAATCAGGCAAATAAAACATAGATACCTGTGTTTACCTTTTTAAAAACAGGACCAAATAAACAATTAGTTAGTATTGTATTGAAATGATGAGACCACCACTGAAAACCTATATGAATGTGCGGTCGTTTCATTCTAGTGTGGAACTTCTCAACATGATGCATCCACGAAATTTCATGCAGGAATCGAACACGGGACCTTCGGTTTCACACATAAACGCAATGACCATACAGTTATGGATAACAACCAATGAAATTTCAGGTCAGTAGAACAAGCTGTTAGTTAGTTGAGGAGATTTTTCTAAAAGCTAACTTGTCTTTGAAGTACAACCTGATGATGATGTTAAGAAAATCAATGAAAGATTGGCAACCAATCTATCCAAGTCAGAGATTACAATTACAATACAATATATATTCTTTAACATGATGTACGTTATTAATACTGCTTCTTATAAATTAAAAATGAGCCACTCATCCACAGCTGCTACCTTGTCGTGGTGGTCGGGCTTGCCTATCGTGATCACCCAACCGAGCTATACTGGCTAGAACATGTGTTTCTGAAGGTTCTACAATGCCAGGCAGGTAGAGTTGAGAACGGTGAGACTAAAAGCAGCTACTCAAGGTCTGAGGGCGAAGTCGTACTGATGACTGTGGAGAGGTGTGACAGCAGTAGAGTGTTTCCCTCGGACAACCAGCATGTGAAGCGATGCTGCCTTCTCACAACAGAAGAGAGGGGTTAGAAAAGGTCGACCCTAAGTGTCATACCTCACCTTAGCCCACGGATTTCCGTCTCAGGCCGTAAGACCCAAAACATCCCATAAAAAGACCGTGTGTGACCGGCCTCAAGCAGTTCTTCGTTGGGTTCTACGGTCACGCTCCCAGGCCTCTAAGACCAATGCTAATCCAATTCCTTCCACGATAAAGGGAGCCGGGAAGTGGCACTCACCCCCCATAACCCTGACAACACACGAGATTAACTTGGTCACAATCAAATCCTCTACCCACCTCTTAATAGCTTCCTTTTCCCCACGATTAACCCTTCTTTCATACCTTGGTCGACTTGCGGCGCTAATGCTAACGATTTCAATGCATGAAATGTTATTCCTGGTCTCCATAAATCCCGCTCTAAACTACGTCTTGGAGCTTTTAATGTTTGCACCTTGTGACAAATAGGAAAACAGGCCTCCTTAGCAAGGATTTAGATTCTCGCACCATCGGTGTGTAACAGAGTCAAAGTCACCATGTATGATATTGCTAACCCGTCCTGTTTTCTTTCTATTTCAGGGCGATCAAACGTTAACACTTTGGAAGCTGAAGAACAAGCCATGAGTGGTCTGGACATACAGGATGACTCTTAAGACTTTGGTACCATAGCGACCCTTTTCTGTAAGATTCCGCGTATTTCAATTTTTAAAAATAAACGAGTGTCGTGGCAACTACTTCGTGTTCTCTCTTGGTGTGAGATGTTAAACTAACCTTGTGTGTTGTGATTTTAGATCCTATCCGCCCTTCAGTGACTGCTGATTACACGTGTTACAGGTGTATGCTACGTCTCCAAGACGCGCAGGATCTGAGTACAGTCATTCATCTGACCTCACCTTGTCAAAATAAAGAACCGTCACAGTTTACACTTTGTGTATCTGGAAGTACTACTACTGATTCCCGTGGCCTAACTGGTGTGCGTATAGCAGTGAGTTCTAAAGTAGGACTAGCTCTCTTCGACTGGATTTTAGTAGACAGTCGTTTGTGCGCTGTCCAACTAAACAAGACAGTAAGGACTTAGAAAGATATGGACACTTGTCTTTGTCTCTGCCTACGCTCCAACTGACTGGAGCTAAGATGAGGTAAAAGATGAATTTAACGGAAAGAAAAATGAACTAATTTATTTGTTAACATGGATTATCCAGATATTTTGAGTTAGAAAATAAAACATTTTTACTTACTCCTAAGAAAATATTATTTGATGCATCAAAACCAGCTGCATATAAACGAGCAGTGTAAGGTGGATCACGATCAACATGAATACGACAAGCAAAACGTGAAACTGCACTTTCATAATTACCACGATTAGACTCTTTTGAATTATCTTTAAACTGTTTATTATTCTCATGATTATTAATATTATTATCATTATTAATATACTGTTGATCATCTTGACTAACTGGCGGTCTTGGCTCCGACACGACAAAATCTATGTGATTATCAGTACTTCGACCAATCTATAAAAAGTATTTATCAAAGTGCATGCCAGTAAATAAACTTGAATATTAGGGAAATCATTGAACTGAAAACAAAAAAGGACTCAATTACATGAGAAATAGACAATCATATTGTACTTTAGACAAAACAGTAACGTTAATAATAAAAATGAACATGACTTTATTTAGAGAAAAAGTTAAGTTCAGTCAACTAAATGAGCAACGAGATTGTTGTAAAATGACATAAAATCTAGTATAAAATGTTACTAAATTCGAATAAGATGTAGAAATATTTCTACATTATTTTTTTAAATATCAAATGAGTTGTATGACATTAGGATCTTTAATTGCGAAGCACTACAATTATAAATGATTCAGACTAATTGAAAGAGCAAGAAAATGTGTTGTGCAAATTTTCATGATATTCTTTGATAGAACACACCAAAGTCAATGAACCTGTTTATAGTTGGCTAATTGAAGAGTTTAAACTCCGCCTGGAGCTCCTCTGGGGCAACTGCCGGCCCCAAGCCCGGATAATATAAAAGGGTTGGGTGTGGGGCTGGCGACCACACTATGTAGAAAATTAACTCGATCAAAAAAATGCTGTTGGGGATGTTAGATCCCCAGAACTCGATTGATAAATGCCTTATCTTGGACTTCACGTTTGCAAGCATGGGCTGATAAGTTGACCTTGAGATCACATTTCCCACCAGGAAAGTCCCTGTCTGTGATTAGCTGCTGTGTATCTTAGTGTGCTATTTTTGTAACCGTCCCAAGGACGTTTCTGTGATGTATAAATAAACGAGAGTTGTGTACTTGATTGCATTATGCTTGCTGGGTGTTGTAGAATATAGTTTCTACCCTTATCAAGACTTTTGTTTTGAAGTTTGGGATCAAGGTAGCTTACCTGGACATTGGTAATTGTCGCGTTCGCGTTTATCGACTAAGGTGAACTCGTGATAGCTTCAAGCGTACCTAGTGACGAACTTAACAAATGCTAACCAGAAAAAATAATCCGAACGATTTAAGCTCTGCACTGGTGGTTACAGGTCTTCATTTAGAAGAGGTATGACGTCTCATGTTGAAAGCCGAGTTCCTTTGGAATTTGCGAGGCCGATGCCCCTTCTGACAACCAGAGAAACCAGTTATTTAAGTACATGGAGTCCAAGAACCTAACCATTTGAATTTTAATCAATATATTACAAAATCTGATACTATCCCATATATATCAATTTGAATAGACAGGTAAGATATTTAACTTTCGTACGACGAATATGATTCAAAGACTAATAGATAAAAAATTCACTTAGTCACCACGTTGTCCAATGGCTGGGACCTACATTAGTAGTATTCATGACTAACTTCAATTTAATTTAACATACTAGGCTTCGAATTACACTCAATGTGTACAAATTGTTGTTACTGTTCAACTGCTAGAACCTAAGTAGATGGAAAATTATTTAAACCTGTGGTTTAATCTTTGAAAGATAAGAGTTCATATTGGGAGACTACAAATTTATTACTTCAAGATAAAACCAAACCAATTCAATAACTAAAAAGTTATTATAATCTAGAGAAAATACAATAATGTTTGGTTGGAATTATAATGTTAGTTGCTACTAAAAACTAAAATTTGAAACAATAGTAAAGAATAAAATCTATATTTTATTGAAAGTAAACATGATAGACAGTCATGACATTTACCTGAAACATATCCACTTTAGGATCAGGTACATATTCTACAACTACTGTAACATTCCTGGATAAAGTAAATGAGATAGCAGGTGTATTCCTGTTTGTCACTGCCTGAAAATAGAAAGATTAAATTTAGATAATTAGTTGAAAACCTTTTTCAAGAATTCTAGGTTTGATATAAGAAAAGAAAATCCAAAATGAAACTAGGAGCTAGTAAAATGGAACATAAAAAGTAACTACGTAAGTTGATAATGAAAAGAAGAATAGTTTGGAACTCGACTTGTCATAATTACAATTTTGAGATATCCAACATTATACGAAAAATCGAGTATTGATGAATCGCATTTTTGAAAAAAAGTTTTGTGGAAGGTGATAGATAATACAACTTGTAAGAGTCAACTAGCATGAAACTAACAAATTTTTCAAGGAGCATCTTCTCTTCAATTGATGAATTTTAAATCATTCAATGTCAGTTAGTTACAACGTAGAACTTCGTACGTACACACGTACATCAGTTCAGGTTGCCATACCACATTAGCACAGAGACACAACTGTCACTTCAAATCCCATAGTGGTAGAATTAGTAGACGGATTAGCAGTAATCAGAAATTTTAGGGTTCGGCAATAAACTTAAAAGAAAAATATAAAGGTTATGAGATACTCTGAAGGTTACGATTTGAGAGAACACAAAGAATGAATGCACCTGCTCCGTTGCAAACGGTTTTGAGACATGTCGTTCTCTAACCATCGACTACTATTTTCTCGCGGACCCTAACCAGGTAGTCGACACATACCAACCAACATGACCAGTCCACTTGTCAGTGACTTCATGGATTTCTGCCATGTTTTTGGTCTGGCCGCTCCTAGTTTTCTTCCAACCTATTCCCACACCTCAAAACATAGCTCGTGGAGTTGGTCGGTGGTCAGGTATACGTAACGCATGTCCCAACCACCTCAACTGATGAAGTTTCACTACTTCATAAATCGACCTGCTACCTTTACCTAGTACTCGTTTCCTAACTAAAGCATTGTTTACTCGGTTGTTCCATGATACATGAGCAATGCTTTGCGCGCACCCATGATTGAAAACAAGCAACCTACGGATATCTACTCTCACTGGCCATGTCTTACAGCCATAATGTAGGACGGAACGAACTGCTGCGCAGTACACTCGTCCTTCGGTTAGCAGACGGATATCTCGCCTACGCCATAAGTGACACAGGTTGGGGAAAGCCAATCGAGCCTTCTGTATCTGTGCTGATATTTCGTCAGTCACCAGGCCGTCAGCACTGATGAAGCTTCCAAATCATTCAATGAGACCATGAAGAAGCAAAACGAAAAGTGTTTCAATGACTTACAGTTTGGAATATAAGTGGACAAAATATATTAAACCCATTGAGGATATTTTACATAAGTTTAACGAATGCCTTTAGGTTTTCAGTCTGGTTTATTTTAGTTTAGTTAGGAAGTTGATCAATGTTTATCATAACGAAGATTAATTTTAGCTCAGAGGATGCTTTAGATAGTATTGTATTCTTTGGATTGCTGTTGTATTCAACATCGTCTGTTTGAAGTTAGGGTTGATAATGTTGTCTAGAATGATACCGAAGTCTGAACAATCAAATCATTCAGCTAAGAGTAAGCAACACAATCAAAAGTATTCATCACTTTGATTTCAATGAATAAGTAATTGACAAAATTTGAGTAAATGATTTACGGACTTTCAATATTTGTTAAACAGGTTATTTAATTGAATGAGGTGAAATGGAAAGCTAGACTTAATACAGGTATTTTTGATGGAGAAGCTTATTTTTGAACTCACAGTTATTATTAAACTCTTTTCTTTTGATTACTATTTTATTTTTCTATGTCTTAAGGAGATACTCTTGATTAAGTGCCTTAATACATGAAGAGAATCAAAAGGTGTATATTTAGGAAAACTGATCATCAGAAAATACAAGTAGAGGAAGATTACTTCGCTGAACAGAGAAAACATCCATTTTAATGGTTTCATGAGAAAATAAAGACTACACCTTTTTCTAACTCAAACTAAATGTTTATATAGGATTTGAATTCACTTATCGATTATATGTACAATATTATATCAATGCTCATATTTGTTCTGTCACTTCAAAGAAAAATTATTTGCGAGAAAAAAGACTTCAGAATCTTATAAAAATATGAACTCTTGGTATTAACAAGATAAAAATGAACCAGACTGAACATAACACGTGACTTTGATTAGTGAGTATATTTAGGGGACATTGAAGAAATCGATTTATTTCTGTAAATTTCATAAGCTCAAAAAATTTGAGAACAAATGCTCCTGATCACTTCTTTAAGGGAATTAAACTTTAAGGTAACAGGACAGATAACGAACTGTTTCAATCTACAATGGTATCGAAGATTTCAATTGTAACTGTGTAGAACTGCAACGAAAAATAAAAATAACCGATAATAACTGAGGACTGAAAACTTTAATTATATAGTTAACGTTAAAAGCGAATAACCAACAAGGTCAAGGCATGCTTGAATAATGACTTGAGAATAAATTAATTGATTTTCCCAAAAGCTAGAATAACCTATGCAGGTTTGACATAGTACTAGCCGCGGTAACCTCACCGACAGTCTAGGAAATCAGCATTATTAGACAGATCAAAAACGGTAAAGCAGAAGGACCAGATAACATACTAGACATAGCAGACAAAGAAGCTACTGAAGAGATGCTCCACGCTCTGATAAGCAAGATTCGGCAGGAAGAACAAGTATCTACAGACAGGAAAGGAGGATACCTGTGGTGTTTGAATGAACTAGTAACTTCTTGTTGTTGTGGAATGCTTGATTTCGAATTCTAAATACAATACATTCGTTTGTGCATATCTTTAGTTCTTGATTCACATACTTCTAATTATCACACTGGCGTCGCCAGCAGGATTTGTAATGGAACAGCTAGATATTCATTCTACTTCTGAAGCTTTTGAAGATTATTTGGAAAGGTTTGAAATCTGGAGTATGACCAGGAAAGATGTCAAAGATGATAAAATTGTGGCTCATTTCCTAACATTCATCGGAAAAGAAGGGTACAGCTTATTAAAAACCTTGGCACATCCAGAAAAACCTATTTCACTTCCCTATGCAATGCTAAAGGAGTTATTATTGAATCATGTAAAGTGCCCTGGTTTTGAATGCCGTGAAAGAGCGAAATTTCATAAGATGATTCGTCAAAATGACCAAAATGTTAAGGAATTCATTCTTGAATTGCAGAAACAGGCTGTCAAATGTAATTTCGGTGATCAATTTCATGTGCAGCTGAGAGACCGATTAATTGCAGGAATTAACATACCTAGTTTGGAAAGAGAGCTGTTAAGAATGTCAAACAGTTCCTTTCAAGATGTTAGAACTGCGTGCATTAACTACGAGGCGTTGAATGAACTTGATATTCAGTCGATGAAGATTTCCAATACTTTGATTAGTTGTCATGATGAAAAACAATCTCAGGGTCAATCAAAATCGTGTTCGTTTAACAGAGGTTCCGATTCTCGTGTAAATATGAACGGTGTCTCAAAAAAGAATTACAAAGGAAATCACAAAGGTGAGACCAAGTTTGGCAAATGTTTATCATGTGGAAAACTTCATTCTCGTCATTCTTGTACATTTCGTAATGCTAAATGTTTTAGATGTGGTAAGATAGGACACATTCAAACAGTATGCAAAGCTACTGTTCATTTTGCCTCAAGTAGTACTAAATCTTGTAATTTAGATTCCAATAATTCAGCTGATCCTAATGATCATTTATCTTTAACTACCATTTCTAAAGGTAATGCTCATATTCGAAAGCGACTATATACATCGCTTGGTTCATGTCATGACTTTATTGTGGACACAGGCAGTATAGAGTCCATTATTTCATTCAAGAACTTGAAATCGTTAGATCCGAACGTTGTGATACGACCCACTGATGTATCAATATTGGGGATTACTGGACACAGACTGCTTATACGAGGATGTTGTGAATTGCTAATAAGAGATGATAATTCCTCATACATACCTTGTGAATTTTTAGTTAGTGAAACAGGACTGTCAATACTGGGTTTAAAGAATTTGAGAAGACTTAAAGTGGAGTTGTCTTTCCTAGTTTCTAAAGAAAATTCTGATGCTTTACTTAAAGATTTGATAGCCACGTGTGCTAAGTGCAATGGAAGTATGAAAACGGTTCAGCACAGGAGTGCCAAACAAATTCAACATGTTGACTACATTTCTCGACAGTCATTACAAGATAAACCTGTTAATACTTCAGACTGTTTGTTGGTGCAATCTTTACCAGTGAAACGTCCAGATCTCATTAGAGAAACTCGTAGAAACTTTGGATGTATAATTAATGCTATACGGAAAGGTTGGAATGCTAATCTGAAACGCAGATTCCCTATCTATTTTTCAAAGCGGGATGAGCTATCCACTACTCCTGATGGTATTTTGTGTTTACATGATCGGGTTGTTATTCCTCCTTCATTGCGTAAAGCTGTCCTGGAAGATCTTCATAGTGGACATTTAGGTGTTGAGAAAATGAAGTCCTTGGCGAGGCTCACGTGTTGGTGGCCAGAGATAAATGCAGATATTTGTCGTACAGCAAAGAATTGCGAAAAGTGTCATAAGCTGAAAAATCAGCATTCGAAGTGGATTGATTCTATTGTCGCCTCAACATTTAATGAGCTGGAGAGGGGAGTAGATACCTTTCTACTGCAATATAGAAATGCCAGATATTCGGTGACGAAAGAGACTCTATCAAAACTATTAAAAGGAAGAATTCTTCGGTCGAATATGAGATGTTTGGAGTCTGCAGAAGTTATCGTGGCAATCATCTTCGACCATCCACGGGGATCGTTCTGAAGAATGTCGGGAAATCTATGGTTCGTCTTCTAGATATCAATGACTTAAGTACACACAATCAACATGTTGATCAAATACAACTCCAAGAACCAGGTGAGTCTGTTCCAATTTCGGTTGTTAATTCTAATACTAATGAGAGCATTCTAGATAATACAGAGCCTTTATCCAATACACTGTCGGACAGACACAGGATGAATTTGAGACATATACATTCCAATTTAAGCTGTGGCGGATGTGGTGTTTGAATGAACTAGTAACTTCTTGTTGTTGTGGAATGCTTGATTTCGAATTCTAAATACAATACATTCGTTTGTTCATATCTTTAGTTCTTGATTCACATACTTCTAATTATCACAATACCTCATCACGATACCAAAGAAAAGAGATCTTAGCAAGTGTGAAAACTACAGAGGGATGACTTTACTACCATTATCAGGAAAAGCCTTTAAAATTGTTGTTGAACAAATTGAAAGATTCTGCAGACGATCAACTTCCAGATCAGAAGGCTGCATTCTGTAGAGATTGAACGTGTACCGAACAGATTGTGACATTACGGATTATTGTGGAACAATCGATTGAATCGAACTCACTACTATACATCAATCCCCTTGACCACGAGAAAGCATTTAACAGCGTGGACTGTATGACACGATGGAGGCTTCTTCGGCACTACGGTGTATCTGTGAAGATAGTCATCATACGGAATTCTTACGATGGACTGCACTGCAAAACTGTGCATGGAAGGTAGCTCACAGGTCCATTCCAAATGAAGGCTGGTATGAGATAAAATTTATGAAGTGTTCACACAACATGCTCTGGTTCCGTTGGCCAGACACCATCAATAACAAACTACTTTGGTACAGAACAAACCAGATTTCAGATCAAGAGGAAATTAAGAAAACACGTTGGAGGCCAATCATTAAACTGCATCACAAGGTAATCCCTAACTTGGAATCCTCAAGACTAAAGGAGAAAAAGAAAATCAAGGGACACACTGGACTCAGAATCGGAAACAGAAATGAAAAGAATGAATATCAGTTGGGTAGAACTGGAAAGGAGAACCCAGGACGGAATAGGTTCGAGATCGCTAGTCGGTAGCCTATGCTCCACAAGGGGTAGCAGGCCGAAATAAACAAAATTGGTATTTTATACAGGCTATAGCCCATAAAAACTTGCACATTTAAGCACATAAAAGACAATAAGAAAAATCATTCAAATTGAATAAACACTTAGTTGTTAATTATTGGTTTTAAGAATTCCAATTCAATTTCATATATTTTGAAGAAAACCGTTCGATATTCTTCATTTGATGCGTGCACATGATAATATATAACTTAAGAGATAGAGCGTTTCACATTATGATTATTATTATTATTATTATTATTATTATTATTAAAGGGTTTCTTGACGATTATAGAAATCATAGATTTTAAATCATGAACTGATTTTATTTAGACCAACATTGGAAAGATCATTCGCTGGTCTTTGCAATTAGAACAATTGAGAAATAAGTGCAATAGGGCAACAGAATTGGAATTTATTCAACCAGCCATTTATAATTGACGTACATGTGTGAGAAAGTGACGATTTTTATATGGGAGATTATAAATTCGATGCCTCTCAATGTCACTAAACTATGAACAATTCAAATTAAACATAACACATACTGTAGTATCCAGATACTTAAAGTAGGTGGAAAAAGATTTGAACTTACTACTCAATAGTTGCAAGTCATATGTTTCAACCACAGGGCTACCACTCCATTTCTTAGGTCAAAGATAAATGTTAGTCTATTTTATGAATATTTTCGATTGAAAGTTTTGCGTAAAAATTATACAAAATTTGAAACTATCTTTTTTTACTGTTTTTACATCTGTGTTGTTTTGAAAAAACAATTTATGCAAAAAATTATGTGAATTTTTAAATATTGTATCGACATATATATTTGAAGTACATATTTAAGCAATGCAACGTTAACTGAATTAATATTCATAAATTTGAAATCGATATTTTCTAAAACTTTTCAAAAATAACTTTCAATAAGACTTGATAATTATGGATAGAAAATTGCTAAACTATGAAAAGATTTACTTTCTAATTGAAATGGATAGATGATTGCTATAAAAAAGGGTGTTTTTTTTTATTAGCTTTGATATTGAGTAGATTTTGTAGTAGTTGTAATCCAGTAATGGAATCCAATCTCAGGTACTCAATTTTGCGCCACGCTTTTAATATATGTAAAAGCTAGGGTTATTTCCCAGCTAATCAGACTGCGATTGGTGAAGCCAGTCTCGAACAAGCAACAGGGTGTTTGAGTGTTCAACAAATTGACCAATAATCACTCGGTACTACTAATTTGTCATTTCAAGTATAGTTGTATAACGATACAAATCATATACTAACAGCAATAAATCAAATCCAATATCGAAGTGATGTTTCGTAAGATTATCCTAAACGTATACAACCACGCCATCTTCATTTCAAAACCTTTTCATGGAAACCAACGTCTTAAAACATATAAGCTTAGATTAAAAACTCACTGAATAGATCCTTGCTATCGCCGTAAGCAAATGGCTTATGTACATTGAATATCTTGTCTAATTCAGTTTCAGGTTAATCAATATCCAAAACATGTTCCTGATTCCGAAGTTACAAGAGTAAATACAGTATAGAACTATTGATGAAGAGGTAACAGTATATTCACATAGGCACCTTACTAACCACTACAGCAGGAGACAAATCTATTTGTAAGAAATACCTTGATTTAACAGAACTGAGTTCATCCTTAGTTATTTTTATAAGATAAAGAAAAGAACTATTCATGGGCTGTAATTTCGCTGTATTACTTTAAGAGCATGATTACAAGCTTCTTGTAGTCTATATTTTCAAAGTCATATTAACAGGGTGACAACAGACAGTATTAATAGGTTCCCCTCTAAAAGCTGGTCAAATGACATCAAGACTGTTTTTACGTGATTTTTTGGATCGTAGGATCGAATCTCTCAGAATAAAAAAGAGACAAGTGTTTCAATTTTTGCTGATTTCTGGTTATAAAGCACCAGATCAAGTTTTTCGTTATTTGAAGGCTAAGCTTACTAATCAGTATATGAAATACTGCATAATTAAACACACATTAATGTTGTTTTCGTTAACTTACAACTGAGTTTCTAGCTTTAGGAACCTTGTTCACTGGCCCAGGTTGAACTCCGTTTGCTTCACGACGTTTAAACAAAGATATTTTAGATGTGCGTCGTGTAGTAGTCCCAGACTCAGCCAAAGCACCATTAAGGCTGAAAAAGATTCAGCAAAACGAAATCCAAGTATATTTAAAAGTAAACTTGACATATTTCAAGAATAGATAACTTATTTATGATGGGGAAGCAAACTAACAAAGAAATAAAGTGTGGTTAACCTAAAATATCCAGTTTAAATCTATCCTGAATGCCAAAGGCAGGAATAATAACAGAAATCGGTGCTAACTACTAAGTTTTATCTTAAATCATTGGAGAAAGTACATTTCAGTTGCATCTACCAACTGAGTGATAGTGGTAAGTGAAGGTCATTCATTACGTTGAGGTAGTCTTCAGATTTGAGTAAAATTATCATTTATATGGACTGTGAATATTTGTTTCCAATATCAGGAAAAAAACTCCTCCACCTGTAGTCAGACAGACAGATACAACGCAGAACTTCATACGTAGGTACATCAGTTCAGGTGGCCATAACGCATCAGCACAGGGACGCAACTGTCAGTTCAAATCCAGGAGTGATAGCGATAATAGAAGTATTAGCAGTAATGGAGAAGATTAAGGAGCGAAGATATGATTCGAAAAGTATGATTCAGTGAGATAAATTTAGGAGGAAGACGGAGATGATGAGGAATTCAGAAGGTTAGAACTAGAGGGAACACAAAGAGTGGTTTGAGCCATGTCGTTCAAGGTCTCTAACTATCGATGACTTTCCTCACACGGACCCGAACCACGTGGCCTACATCTACCAACATGACTCAGCCCACTTGTCAGTGACTTCATGGATTTCTGCCATGTTTTGGTTTGGCCGCTCCTAGCTTTCTTCCAACCTACTCCTACACTATAAAACATAGCTCGTGGAGTTGGTCGGTGGTCAGGTATACGTGACACATGTCCCAACCACCTTAACTGATGAAGTTTCACTACTTCATCTATTGATTTGCCATCCTGTTAGTGGGACATAGATGGAATTAAAGCATGACTACGTTGCTACGCGCTGATTGGCCAATTGCCTATCCAATCAGGGCCTGATCGATTCTTCGAGAACAGGGTAGAAAATTCTCGTACTGTTAGCTGCGTGCTAATTGGCTAAATCTAATCCAGTCGATCACGTGAATTTCTATCCAGAAGCTTCTCATGTAAATGCTATGAATAAACTAACGTTGTACCTATTTTTGCCTTCGCCTTCGGCTCTTATTCCATTTAACCTTTTCTATTTGGAGTATAATCTTCCCAAGTTCAACCCTGTTTTGATTCTTGGGAACTTGTCCAGTGTATAGTGGTCAGAGAATACTAAGCAATAGGAGTTAGCCGGGAATTATCTAAGCAAGCGTTACAACACATCCCTACGTAGAACTCATTTCCTAACAACAGCATTGCTTACTCGGTTGTCCCACGATACTCGAGCAATGCTTCGAAGACACCCATGATCAAAAACAAGCAACCTACGAATATCTTCTACTCTGACTGGCCATATTTTACGGCCATAATGTAGGGCGGAGTGAACTTCTGAGCAGTACACTCGTCCTTTGATTAAGAGACGGATATCTTGCCTACGCCATAAGTGACGAAGGTTGGCAAAAGTCAATCGAGCTTTCTACATCCGCGCTGAGATTTCGCCAGTCACAAGGCCATCAGCACTGATGAGACTTCGCAGATACGTGAAGTGGTCTACACGTTCGACTACTTCACCCCCTGTCACTAGCTCAGGTACCGATGAAATCCAATCGTGAAGCAACATTTTGCATTTCGAGGGCGGAAACCGCATCCCGAACATGCTTGCATTGTTGCTCGGGGTAGTCAGAAGACTGCATTTTGTCAGCGTCTTCACAGAATAGAACTATGTCATCGGCATATTCTAGGTCAGTAAGCCATCCTCCTGGTAGAAAGTCGACTCCTGAAAAGTCAGACGAAGATAATGTTATATCTAGGAGCATGTCTATGATAAAATTAAACAAGAATGGGGAGAGTGGACAGCCCTGACGTACACCACTTGAAGTAAACAATTCCGATGACAGTCCTTCATAAGCTCTCACCCAACCTTTAGTGTTCGAGTAGAGAGCTTGTATGAGGTTAATATACTTCTTTGGTACACCTTTCAATGACAGACACTGCCGCGGTACCTCACGATCCACTGAGCCAAATGCCGCCTTAAGGTCCAGGAAGACGACTATTGTAGGATGCTTATATGTGTTTCTGTGTTCCAGGACCTGTCGTAGTGTGAAGATGTGATCTATACAGCCACGTCCATGTCGTAAACCAGCTTGGTTTTCTCTAGTCTGCTCTTTACGAGCCCTGCTTAGGTGTCTAAGTATAATCGAGGCTAACAATTTAGAAACTATATTAGTTAGACTGATTCCTCTGTGATTGTCACAAGAAGACTTCTGTCCTTTCTTATGGATTGGCACAATAAGGGATTGAGACCAGTCGGATGGGATTACGTCCAGTTCCAAGATTCTACCTAAGATTTCAGTCAATTTAGTGGCTAAAACTGGATCCCCGACCGTAGCTGCTACCTTGACGTGGTGGTCGGGCTTGCCTATCGTGATGACCCGATCGAGCTATACTGGCTGGAACATATGTTCCTGAAGGTTCTACAATGCCAGGCAGGTTGATTGGAGAGCGATGAGACTAGAAGCAGCTACTCAAGGTCTGAGGGCGAAGTCGTACTGCTGACTGCACAAGGGTGTGACAGCAGTAGAGTGTTTCCCTCGGATAACCAGCATCTGCAGCGATGCTGCCTTCTCACAAGGAAGGAAGGGTTAGTAAAGGTCGACCCAAAAAAGTCACACCTCCCCCCTCGCGGATTTCCGTCTCCGTCGGTAAGGGTGACCACTAAGGGCTTTCAAGAGCGGAGCTAACACTCAAAAAACTTCTCATAAAAAGGCCGTGCGTGACCGGCCTCAAGCAGTTGTCCCTTGGACTCTGCGGTCACGCACCCAGGTCTCCAAGACCAACACTAATCTATCTTCCTTTTCAGGTCCCTTAAGAAACAACCTTCCACGGTGTGAGCACCCGGGAAGTGACAACCGCCCTCATACCCATAACAGCACACGAGACCGAATTGGTCAAAATCAAGTCCTTCCTACACCCCCTAATACCTCTCTTATCTCCACGACTAACTCTTCTCACATTCTTTTATCACACTGCACAGCTAATGCATACGATACGAGTTCGCGAAACGTCGTTCCCGGTCTCCTTAAACCCCGCTCTAGACTACATGTTCGAGCATTTAGTGTACGTACATTATGTCAAATAGGGCAACAGGCTTTCTTAGCTAGAACATTAGAATCTCTCTCAATTGATGTATGCTGCGTCTCGGAAACGCGAATACAGGATCCTAGTAAAGTCATTAGATCATGCGTGTCTCCGAAGCATTGCTCGAGTATCGCGGGATAACCCAGTAAGCAATGCTGTTGTTAGGAAATGGGTCCTAGGTAATGATGGCAGATCAATCGATAAAGTATAGATACTTTATCAGTTGAGGTGGTTGGGACATGTGTTATGTATGCCCAACCACCCACCAAATCCACGAGCTATGTTTTGTGGTGTAGGAATAGGTTGGAAGAAAACTAGCAGCGGCCAAACCAAAACATGGCAGAAATCCATGGAGTCACTGACAAGTGGTATGAGTCATGTTGGTGGGTAGGTGTCGACTACCTGGTTAGGGTCCGCGAGAAAATAGTAATCGATGCTTAGAGACCCTGAATGGTATGTCTTAAAACCGTTTGCAATGGCGCAGGTGCATTCACTCTTTGTGTTCTCTCAAATCGTAACCTTCAGAGTATCTGATCAACTTATATTTTTTTAAAGTTTATTTCACTAGATACTACTTCTTGAATAATATTGTTGAACCGTAAAATTTCCGATTACTGCTAATCCGTCTGCTACATCTACCACTGTAGGATTTGAAGTGACAATTGCATTTCTGTGCTAATGTGATATGGCAACTTGAACTGATGTACGTACGTACAAAGTTCTATGTTGTTGTTGACTTGACTTGAACAGGTAAAACCGAGTCAAATATGATGCGTTTTTAACTGAAAAAAGTGGTGAAACTGATGTGATTACAACTGTCATAGAAATGGTGATTAAGTGTAAGATACAAGTTTATGAATCACCAACTTAATAGGATGAAAGTGTTGGGGGGAAATTCAACCTGATATGTTGTCTAAGTACGAAGAAGAGATTAAACCACACACTATACTGGGACTTACCATCCTATATATGAATTACTGAAATTCTTGGAAAAACTTTAAGCTCATAATGGTTGATCGCTAATTGAGCGTTTCTTTGAATTAATGTAATATGACAACATAATGTGTCGAAACCTGATGATCATATGCGTAAACCGTATTTTACTTGTAGTAAATATACGTGGTAGAGACTTGTACATATAATCATGACAAAAAGTATCTGCGGTGAAGTTATGGAACTTCATACACATCTTAAAGTCAGTAAAACAAAGGATTTGAGCGAAATAACATGAATTAAATGAAAGGTCGTACGTTAGATTTAGAAAATATACTTCGAAATGTTTGAAGTCATACAGATTAAAAGTCTTACTCGCAGAGTTATTTCAAGATATTTTGACATAGGAAATGAATTTTGTACGTTGAATTTTTTCGGCGTCATTAGCAAACACCAGCACTCTTACATTTTGAATTTCGTTGAAGCCATAGCTATCGAACACCCGGATTTCCGTGTTCGAAAGAAACAGTTGTCTTTCTTTACCTTGGTAAAACTGTACGCGCTTTATTGCATCATCTCTTTTTAATCATTGTCAATTTATTGATTATGTCACTTTAAATTCTTTTAGATGTTTTATTTTCCACTCATTGATCTCAATTGATGGTATTCATTACTATTAACCTGTGTTTAGTTACTTTATTGCGCAGTCGATTGAATATTTAGCTCAATAATTTTAAATTATAATTTTTGTATTCTAGAGTCTTTGTTCAAACACTGTATTCATCCTAAACATATTTTGATATTGTTAACGTTATTGGAGGCTTTCAGTCATCCAGATACAAAATAGAACTTCGTACGTATATACACCAGTTCAAGTTGCCATCACGCATTAGCAGACGGAATGGCCAGTCCGAATCCTGTAGGCTGTAGCAGCATTGGCAGTAATGAAAAAGATTGAGGATCGATGATATGATTCAAGAAGCACATACCAGTCAAATACATTTAAGAAAAGAAATAGTCATGAGGAATTCGTAAGATTATATTCTAGGAGAAGACTAAGAATGGATGCACCTGCATCATTGCAAGCAATTTCGGAGAATGTTATTCAAAGTATCTAACCATCGGTTACAATTTTCTAGTCGACCCCAACCAAGTAGTTTACACCTACTAGCATGACTCAGCCCAGTTTTCAGTGACTTCATGGATTTGTGCCATGTTCTGGTTTGGCTTTTTCCTTACGCCAACAATGCTTACTCGGCAGTCCTACAATACACGAGCAATGCTTTGAAGACACCTATGTTCGAACACTAGTAACCTATGAATATCCTTTATTCTTACTTGCCATGTTCCAAACCGATAGAGCAGGACAGAGCACACTACTGCAAAGTAAACTCGTCCTCTGGTTAGCAAACGGATATCTCGCCTACGCAATAGGAAACGCGAGTTGGCAAAAGCCAATCAAGCGTTCTGTATTCGTGCGGTGTCAGACACCAGGTTATCAGCACTAATGAGACTCAAAAAGAAAGGTGAAGCAGTAGACAAGCTCAATTACTTTACTCCCTATCACTAGTTCAGGTACCGATGAAATCCAGTCATGAAGAAACATTTTGCATTTCGAGGGCGGAAACCGCATTCCGAACATGCTTGCATCGTTGCTCGGGGTAGTCGGAAGACTCTGAATTTTGTCAGCATCTTTACCAAGTAGAACTATGTTATTCTAAGACAACCAATGAATCTCTTGGTAAAAGTTCAGCTCCTGAAAAGTCAGATGACTTAAGTGTCGTCTCTGAAAACATGTCAATGACAAATTTGAATAGGAATGGGGAAAGTGGACGGTCCCTACGAACACCACTTGAAGTAAACGATTCCGATGACCAATATACTCAAAAATCTCTGGGGTTAACCTCGCTTCAGATCTCCTATTACTTTTTCAGACTCATTAAGATTCAGAGGATGTACATCCATTCGCCATTAAGGTTGACTGGAGATCGTGGGCTACAAAAGTGGCTGAAGGCCACTGATCTCTTAAACTTCGATAATCAACCTGATCTCGCGGATTGAGAATGAATGATAACCCCGTCTTTTTAAGAGATAAATCGTTAGCGGTTGGTTTCCTGATATCAGTTTCCTTGATAACGTACGTTACGCTGTTTGACAACTGAGTATTGAAGTATTTAAGTAACGTTCACTAGATAGGTAACTAGCTACTGCTTATGAAATATCGGTTTTTAAAGATTTCAACTGTTAGAAAACTTTGGATATTGCAAGTACTGACTTGTTATTGTCTCCTAAGACTCATTCAAGTAATTCCCGGAGATACGCAAGGTTAGCAAACGCATTTGTAAGGACGGACTAATAATCAGGGTAGGCTTTAGAAGTCTACAGCAAGTAAAAAGCGAAAAGATTTACATACTGCGTTTATGAAGTCATAGGTTACGCAGAAAACGTCTGGGAAATCCTGGGTTTTTCCCAACACCTTTGAGGACTCCGCACAGGTCAGTGAAAATTTTGAACAAAAACACAAGACAAGGGGAAAATATTGAATTTTAAGCTGTGGTTTTAGAAAATCTCCCAAAAGTTAGCCATTGGGGCTTCATTAAGATTGATAAATTATCCCCGAAATTGGGGAGGTAAATATTGTAAATACAGTAAACATATACAGTATTTTTAAAAAACACTATCGATTTAAAGATGTTAGATAATCCGAATATAAACACCGAAAGCCACTCTATACTCAAAAGCTGGTCGAATGATAGCAAATGACTTACCCTAAGATTGCCAGTTCCCCGTAAAACACTTGATCCGCCATCAACTTTAAGTCAGTGCTGAGTGACGACCTTGAGGAATTGGTGTAAAGGAACTCGAAAATAGTCAGTCGATAGAAAATCATCTGAGGTGGAGTCCAGTAAAAAGGAGCAAGTCGTTTGGAATAAACTGTACGTACAAAAATAAGGGGACCATCATAGTCCAGAACTTGTCGTAGCTAACTATGTCCTACATGCCCCATGGCCACGGGAGTGGTGGAGGCTGACAGTAGATGATCACTGGCAAGCAGTGAGAGATATCATCCAAAACGCTGTCGTAGACAACGTACCTCAATCACACCCAAAACGCCAGAGCAGAAGAACCTGGGTTAGGTGCGGCACGGAACGCTTGCTACAGGCGAAGAGGAAAGCCTGGCACAAGTGGAAGGTCTCCTTGAAGGATTCCGATCGTAATTCTTACTTGGCATTGAGAAACAGATGCAATACCAAAGTTCGAAGCGACAGGGGACAATTCCAGACGAAACTAGCCGCCAGAATAGAGGCAAACCCGAAACATCTGTTCAGGTTCATGTCCAAAAGAAAACCTACTAATCAAGGGTTGTGTTCCCTAAAAGGGCCTAACGTAGAAGACCTCACCAACCTAGAGATGGCCAAGATCTTCAAAACCCATTTTTATGATCAATTAAATCAGGCGCCTACATGTTCAGAGTATTACGCCAACCCAATGCCAGCTGACGGCTTAGGGAACATCCGTATCACTCCTGACCTAGTATTAAGGAAACTAAAATCCTTACGCCCAGGTAAGTCACCAGGTTGCGACAACATCCGCCCTATAGTCTTGCAACAGTGCGCTGAAGCCCTCTGCTCATCGTTATGCAACCTGTTCAGGCATTCACTGGAGTCACACCAATTCCCAGCGGAATGGAAACAAGCTGCTCTCTCTCTCCAATCTTCAAAGGAGGAGATAGAAAGGACCCAGCCTGTTACAGACCAGTCGCACTACTACCTATATTATCAAAGGTTATGGAAGGACTAGTGGACGAACAAATGAGGGAGTACATGGATAAGAATAAAATACTCCATGAAGCTCAACACGGGTTTCGGAAAGGCAGGTCGTGTGCATCTAATCTGCTCATCGCATGGGACAGTTGGACATCCTGCTTGGACCGTAAAATACCAGTGCACGTAGTATTTCTCGACTTCGCAAAAGCCTTTGACACAGTGCCCCACGCACGCCTAATCGAAAAAGCTGTGGGAATGGGCTTCACTGACCCACTCATATCTTGGCTCAGAAACTACCTTGATAATAGAAAGTTTCGCACCAAGGTAAACACAGTGCACGCGAGTTGGAGAGTATCCACTTCAGGAGTTTCACAGGGGACCATCCCAGGCCCACTCCTCTTCCTGATATTCATTAACGACCTGCTAGGCTTAGTTAGCTCACCGGCATTGATCTACGCAGACGATGCGAAGATCTGGAGGTCCATTAGAAGCGAAGAGGATTCGACTGAGCTTCAAAAAGACCTTACATCCATTGAGAAATGGGCAGTGAAAAACGGTTTAAAACTCAACCAACCGAAGTGCCACGTCATGCATTTCCTGCCTCATATGACGCAAACCACCTACACCTCAATGGAAGTCCGCTCCCTAATGTCTCCTCAGAGCGCGATCTTGGTTTAATAACCACAGAAAGCCTCCACACGAGTCCGAACTATGTAGGGGATGCAGCCAAGGCAAATGCGACTCTTCACTTTATGCGAAGACAGCTTGGTGCTATCACCCGGAAATTATTTTTAGCCCTGTTTAAGACGTACGCGCGCCCACACTTGGAGGTTCACAACGTCATCGCACCCCGTCTGCTTAAAAGAGACATTAATCTCTTGGATCGAGTGCAGAGACGAGCAACCAAATGGGTGATAGGGTTGAAAAATAAACCCTACGACGACAGACTCCAGCTCTTGGGATTATTCCCACTGAGCTACAGGAGAATCAGAGGTGACCTGATTATGGCGTATACCATATTAAACACGCCAAACCATCCCAATGTGACCATCTTACCGATGCATCACCACCACTCCCCTCGAGGCAATCCTCGAAAGATTGCACATCAAAGAGCAAATACTCAGATTCTTGCACACTTTTTCTCATTGCGAGTCTTCGCAACTTGGAATGCTCTCCCAGCCGAGGTAGTTACAGCCCCCTCAGTGGACTGCTTTAAGAAGAGACTTGATAATCACGTACTCACATATGGACTATCATCTCCCTCTTGGAAAAGCTGTGCCTGATGCATATCTTGAGACCTGCTAGTTGTTACCATTGCCATCTCCTCAGATCACTAAATTAATCCATTTCGCCTACTATCTCTGTTTCCTCTCCCTTGCTTACACTTCGGTCCTCTCTCACAATCTTCACTACCAATTAATAAACTAAATTCATCTATATATTACTCAGTTCTGAAATTTTACTCATATTATCATTTTAATTTATCCCTACTACCCTTATTACTCTCCAAATTGCAACTAACTGATCTCCAGCCTGGTAATGTGATAGCTGTTTGTATCCAGAAACCCTACTGCCCTGAAACAAACGTTTCATTCAAATCCCGAGACATACAAACTCACAACCAACTGCTAACTGACTAGAATTAGACAGTCGAGTGGCTGGACCTCCATCCATTGGACATTGCCGAACACCTGGAACCGTACCGAAAGAACAAGAATCGAGCGCGAAGAAGTCAAATTCGTTTACAATAGCTCGTGAAAAAGATATTGGATATTGGAAATTGGAACTGTTAGTTGATAAACAAGTGATAATATAAATAGGGGATTCCCTACGCTTAGAATCACTTGAAAAATGTAGCTAGTCATTTTGGCATCGTCCTTCCAGCAATCATGACATGTAGTTAGTAATTACTTATTGCGGAGTAGTTTTTGGAGCACCAGGAGACGTAGTCATAGCTCAGCTGGTATCGGGTCGCTAAACGATGTTTAAGTGACGATGTAAAGGTTATCATATCAAGAGATAGATCTCACATGAAGATAACCTCAGTAAATTTGTCGTATCATTGCAAGCACTTAATAAGAAACTAGGTTTCTTAATGGAATAAAACTATCATGAGTATCAAACGAAAACATAACCTGAATATGACAAATATGAGATGTAGTGAGCGATGATGCAAGAGTGAAAACCGCTGTGTGGTAAATAGCAGCTTATTTCTAGAACTTTGCGTTATATAGCTGCCTAGACACAGGAAAAATATTAGGACTATTGAGAGATATTATAAAACACATATAAAATCGTGATAAAGATTCCCAACCGGGGTAGAATATGTAACAGAAAAATTGTAAGAAAATAACAAAATGAAAATAAAATAGATGAAAAACCAAAACGAACACAGCATACGTTGATAGAAACAAGGACGAAAATATATAAAAAATGAATGGCATAAAAAATAAGACGTTTTACAAAAAATAAAAAGGACGATAGCGAAAAACACCACGAGGAATGAAGAAACGGGAAGTTAAAAGGACTTCAAATGATTAGATCAAGAACAAATACTTTGTGAGGAAACATTTACAAGCGATTGTTCAAGCTACCAGAAATCTAGACTCTTGCAAATGCCTATTATGGAACATCGTAACGATTGTTCACTTGTTACATAATTTTCATTTTATTTTATGCGATATTATCCACTCATTTATTTATTTGTTTGTCTGTTTGTTTATTCTATGTTTATTGCTTTTATGAATTGTGGAAAGAATGAGAGGGACTTTTAGAGATATTTTGTACTGAAAATTCTGCATTTCACTACATCTTCGCCTCTAAACGGAGACGATTATGATTATGGGACGTGTGAATGCCTTCCGCCACTGAGTTGAAAGGTCGAAAATTGATGAATGTAAAACGAAGACAAAACACGGGGATTTATGGGATAATGAAAGTGTATTTAATCGAGACGAACGAGGCTACAAGTTGATAACACTCACAGCTTGACCTTGCCATCCATTATGTCTTTCAGGTTTGTGTTGATAGTGCGACGCTTACTGCAACATCCTCCACAACAGTCCCCACCTCGACATCCACGACATCCACAGCACCGAGGGCATTGAGGACATGCACCGGAACAGCAAGGACACTTTCCACCTGATGACGGTGCTGGCTCTGGAGCTGGAGCTGCGGTGACTGAAAACCAGACAACAGAACATAACAAGGTTACTCATCATATCAAGTATGACAGAACAAAACATTACGATCCTACATATTACAACATCTAAATCATCATATCACAAAGTTGATCAGCATGCTCGACACGTTTTCGAGTACTAGTCTATATGCATGAGCTTCATATCATGTGACCAAGTGGAACCTACCAGCATCGAGTAAGACGAGACTCACCTGGATTCTGACATCCAAACGATACGACCAGTACAACTACGATGAGCTGAAATGAGAGGACCGATTAGGCGAACAATATCACACAATGGCATTGTAACGTACAGGAAGTATGCTCCCTTATATCTCTTCACAGCTCGATCTCTGTCTTATAACCACTGTAAACGTTCAAACGAGTTCGGGATTTATAGACGAAACTCTTCTACCAGTGCGAAGGCAACTTATGTTTTCAGTCCATAACTACTCTTAATGTTGTTCAAGATCTATCTACGCCCACACCTTCAGGTTCACAACGTCGTCGCACCCCATCTCCGTAAACAAGACATAAATCTCTTGGATTGAGTGCAGAGATGAGCAACGGAGCGGGTTATAGATAAACTCCAACACTTAGGATTATGCCCCCCTGAGTTACCGAAGAATCAGAGGTGACGTGATAATGGCATACAACATATTAAGCTCGCCAAACCATCCGAACTTGAACATCTAATCGATACTTCACCACCATTACCCAAGAGGCAATCCTCGAAAGATTGCACACCAAAGAGCAAACGCTCAGGTTCGTGTACCCTTTTCCTTATTGAGAGTCTTTGCAACTTAGAATGTTCTCCCAGCAGAAGTGACCAGAACCCCCTCAGCTTTAAGAATAGACTTGATAAACACATCCTCACAAACGCATTATCATCTACTTCATAGACATTAATGCCTTGAGATTTTCTAGTTGTAATTATTGCCATCCTCTCACATCAATCAATCAACCTATCTCGCCCATTATCTCTGTTTGCTCTCCCTTGCTTACACTTCGGTCCTCTCTCACAATCTTCACTACTAACTAATTAACTAAATTATCTATATACTACTTAGTTCTGAAATATTATTCATATTAGCATTAGAATTTTCTCATTATTATTCTCCACATTGGGACTAACTGGTCTCTGGCCTGGTAATGTGATAGCTGCTGGTATCCAGAAACCCTACTGCCCTAAAACATATTCAAATCAAGGGACATGCAAACTCACAAACAACTGCCAACTGACTAGAATTAGACAGTCAATTGGCTAGACCCCCATTCATTGGAAACTAGCAAAAACTAGGAGCCGTACCGAAAGAAAGAGAATCGAGCTGAAATAAATCAATTGGTTTATACTAGCTCGTGAAGAAGATATTGAATTTTGAAATCCGATTACATATTACGTTCAATGAGCGATATTTCGAGAGGTTGCGTTACTTTTTGGTGACGGTAGTGACAGTCTAAGATTTGGTACCTGTAATGGAAAATCAAACAAGTATAGTTCCTAATTCAAGTAATTCATTTTTCAAAAGATAGGGACTTGGAATTCTACGCGGAAGAAATAAGGAAAAGGCAAGATTTGGAAAAGGAAAAAGAGGAAGAGGAAAAGTTCCTACGTACCTCATTACGGTCTTCTAATCGTTTGAAAACTATTGAAAAATACAGGAGAACTGTCAGAAAGGATGAAATTAAGAGATCCGAGGTAAATCATGCATTTGAAGGCGACCTAAAAGCTGAAGACAAAACAGGTTCGTCATGGGCTCATTAACAATAATATGGTTTTTTGCGTTTTCAAACTTATCATATCTTGCCTTGTTATGTTACTCTTGCTAGTTTAAGGATCCATCGTGTCCTCTGTTACGAGTTAAGCTATGCTCATTTGAGATGTCAAGAAGACTAGTCATTTGAGTTGCCCAACCACCAACAACCGTGATGAGCAAAGTTCAATGAAGGAGTGGACTGGAAGAGAGCCAGAAGCGATCAAACCAAAAGTTGGCATCAATCAATGAAGTCATTTACAATTAGACTGATTTATCTGAAACTGTACCGAAAGAACAAGAATCGAGCTCAAATAAATCGATTAGTCTATACTAGCTCGTGAAAAAGATATTGGATGTTCTTAGATGTAGACTATGTGTTCGGGCTCCCCAAGATGATAGAAATTGATGGTTAGGGACATTGAATGACATGGCTCAAGTCGTTTGCAATGGTGCATTTGCATCAATTCTTTGTGTTCTCTGGAATCCTAATCCTCTGGATTCTTCATCATCTTTATCTTTGAATTTATTTCACTGAATTATACTCTTTGGATAATATGTTCGAACCCTAATTTTTATTAGCACTAATACTTCTACCCTCTCTATCACAATGGGATTTGAACTGACAGTTGTATCTCTGTGCTATTGTGATATTGCAACTTGAACTGATGTACGTACGTACGTACGAAGTTCTACGTTGTAGGTGAATGACTGATTCACAATGTTGTTCTTCTAAAACCCTATCATAAAAGCTTGTTTTAAAACAAACAATCGTAAAGGTCAGTAGAAATTAGTATCATACTTTTGGTGTGCGCGAATTTGTATGTGGATTGTTGTCTCTGGAAGTTTGTAGCGTGGTGTACTTTATGGTGATCTGATGTGGATGCGTGACTGAGTGCCTTTATTCAGTGTGTATCCAGTAACACTAATGAGACCAGCAACAGTGTCAAAAATCTGCAGAACTGTTGATTTTAAGGATTTATTTGCCGTAACAGGTTTCTTTCACCAATTCGGACACTGTTGTTACCATTTTCGTATTGTTGCTTCATTTCCAATATAGACGTAGACGGTAGACAACAAACAGTTTAATATAACTCTTATGAATGGGAATAAGAGTTAACTAATTCGGGATACAGAAAACCAGATTCATAGTTTTTTAATCAAAATGATGGCTATCTACTTTTTAACTGTTAAATATTTTGACCCAAAAGGCCGTACAGTACATGCACGCAGTCATAGAGCGAAGAAAGACTTAAAAATTTGTCATCTACTTATTTATTTGCATATATACATCAGTGTTTTGAACCAAGAAACATATTAGTATAGGAAAATTATGGAGACTGTATTATCTTTACTGTTGAAATCACGAAACAATCTTAGCTTGATCACCATTGAAAACCTAGAAGCACTGGACAACCGTTCTGTCCTACTCTGGTTGTGAGATAGTTATCCACCTCAGGTAATGGGTTGTGGAAGATTATGAGTTAATTAAAGTTAGGCATTAACAGCGTTGGATGCCGACTCAGTGGTTTATAGACTATGCATTCACGCGCGAAACTGTCTAGTGTTTTCAGGTCCCCAATAGTCTAGCTAAGATCAGTTTTCAACTTGAACCTTAAAATATATGGACGACTAATTCATGTAGATTACTATTGATAATACAACTGTATTGTTCATCCTAGAGTAGATAAATAGGTGCGGAGCTTTCTAGTGTTGTTTCGGCAGGTTTATTGAAGTCTGTCTTATGACTTCGTTATATTTTAGTACTCTGTATTAATAACGACTCTCAGAGTCTATAAACCACTCCTTTTATGCTACAATCGGGATAAACTTGTCTGATGGTTAGTCCATTTAATCGTCTCATTATTTTTCAAAGTCATAATTACTGACAATTCCGTTCTAAATTCCAGCTTACTTAATTGGTAAAAAACACTTAAAATTGGTACTAATGCCCCATATAATCCCATGACTTTTTACATTAGATCTGTAACCGAGTTAAATAAGAGTAGTATGATTAAATATTTCTAATGTGATTGACTAGTTTATATTTTTAGGAAACTGTTTGAGTTGTATAAAGCTGTCTTCAGAGAAATTGTTCTGTCAGTTGAACTTAGTTTTATAGATGAATGCTACCACAAAACTTCCCATTCAATCAATATTTTTTTTACTTCAGGAGATGAATTCATTGTAAAGCAGTGGCATATTTTAGTCTAAGAGTCTGTAAAACACACAAGACCTAATAATGAATTAGTTCCCTTTTCACTAATGTGCTAGTTGTAGTACCTTCTGTAAGTCTTTTAGATACCCCTTCAAAATTTCAGATTTTATAGTGTGGTAATAACAAAATAGTATCTTTGAGTACATTTTTAGCGTTAATTAGCAGTCTTCAATAATGTCAGGGTATGAGTTTGATGTCTTAAGATTACAAGGAGATTTTTTAACACATTTGCTTTCGTAGCTTTTATACTAAACTAATGTAACTAAAGCATAGCTTTAAAGTTTTATTCATACTGCTAGGAATAATCTTGAGATGTGTACTATAATTAGAGTTTAATTTTTTATGGCGATTCCTATTAATTTCACAACCTCTGTAATAATATCATTACTATTGTCACCTCTATTACAATTACTATATGGTTCTTTTTTCTTTTGCACTGATTGATTTGTCTATTATAGTTCTACCAATGTACTTTTATCCTTTGTGATAGATAATATCATAGTCTCTCTTTCATTTATTTGGTTCTCTGTAAACTGGATTTCGAAAAGTAACTGTGAATTATTTAATAGATGTTAAGCATGAAATGATATTTTTAAAGCATTCCGTTTATAAAATTGGCGTACATAATAAAGATCTTAGAACACACTGGATGAAACAAGTTTACTTTGATCTCACTAGTTGTTTTTGTTTTATAGAATAGCTAACTATCATCTATTGTTTGTTAAATTTTAGAACTCACAGAACTTTTGTGCTATCTCCGAACCAAAATACCGGTTCCAAGAGAAGAGAAAGAGAATAAATTACAATTATCCGACATTTCAATCTCATTAAGTGAAAGTAATTTGGATTCAGAAACAGAACAATGGGAATGGCTTTTAAAAATTCTGTCAGACAGAAGATTATCGAAAGCTTTTCTTATGCATGACAAAGTTGCGAAAGCATACGAAACTTGCAAAAGTGTCATGTATCCTAAACCAAGATATCGTTGGCCTGTTTTAGCTGGTTTAGCATATGACACGATGGAAGCTGTTAAAGAACAGCTGTCAGCAACATTGAGGAATCCAGGTCGATATGATGAGCATACTTCCAACTGTGTTTCTGCGGTAATCAATTTGTGCTCATCCCCTCCCTTTCAGGTGAGCACTATCATGGTATCAGAATGATATCGATGTTTGTTAAGTTATTCAAATCACTTAGATGTATTATGTTTTGGCATGTAAGATCTATTAAAGTTACAAGTATGCTTTTAAAGAACAAATATAATTTAATTGATTTGATTGATAACTTTCCTGGATCAGACTGATCACAGTATGTATTATGCATTCAAACCTACTGCATTAATTCACTTGTAGAACCCTATTATCTGAATTAAGAGTGAATCAATGACAGTTTGAGCTACCATCAAATGTAATAATTTCTCAAATCTGAAACTGAACATATCATAACTTATTATCATAAAAAAGATACAGATCATGTAACAAAACAGTTAAGTTGTTATCCTAGAGATAGTGCTTATAAATCTCATATTGAAATGGCTTCTCATCACTTTTAAATTATACGATTTAATGAACACTTGTATGAAACTTCTTGGTTAATGGCAGTTAAAGTATTATTCATATAATTTTGTTAGTGTATCATCTGTTACATAATTCACTACATAATACAAAGTTGTTGCCGTTTGCTGAACTTAATATTGCTATTCAACAATCAAATTATCACATGACTTTTTTGCATTTCATTTAATACATCTTTATTATTTAGAATTTACTAATTGCAATGGATGGATTAGCTAATACATGGCTTTTTGATGCTGATGAAGATTTTATTGCATCTGAAAGTTTTAAACTACCAGGAGATGTTGACAGAAATTCTCTTTCTACTTCATATATTCAAAAATCTTCTGTCCCAGGTTGTTATGCTACACTTGCATATGATAATCAAGGTCGTGATTCTTATTCAGAACACGGGGTTAGATTGAAATATGTAATTCTTCAGAAAAGTGCTAATGAATTCTTAGTAAGTTAGAAAATGTTCAAATATAATAAATTTGTCTATTTTAAATAGAATAACTTTAAATTTGGAGAATAAATCAGTACGCATTCTGTATTTGTTGTTTGAGATTGACTAAAATGTTGATTTTTTGATTTCTTTTTGTCTGTTCTGAAATTTATTGTGTTTATTCTCGTAATGTCTAATAGGGGGCTACGGTTCGTTTGGAAAGAAATTCCGTTCTAATTGCTCGAATTATTAATGGAGGATTAGCTTATAAGACTAGTAAGTGACAGGAGTAAATAAATACACAATTCTTTTTTATGATGTCTTGATAAATTTGTAATATACAAAACAAAAGATATCAATAATATGACAAAACTAATAGTTTCGCTTGTGCGATCAATCTTCAAATCCCAATTGAACAGATTTCGAAAGATAGAAACATGATCTATTTAACTGAGTATATATGTATGAGATTAGATTATGCTATTTTACGGTTTAATTTAAACGTAAATTTACAACTGTAAGCTACTTATCAAATAAGCAAATAACTAACTAACAATGTAAAAAAAAATGAAGATGACTAAGTAACCAATACTCATGCACATCTCTGTTCATTGTAACAGTTATTTCGATTGGTTCAATGTATTCACAACTTACTAATCAATATGTTATTGTTATATAAAACACAGATGGAGGTCAAAATATTCAACTTAAAAAAAAAAACTATTCAACTGTTAAGAATGTATTTAAGATATTACAATCATTTGACTAGATTGTAAAATAGCTTGAGTTGATTGTAATTTCTAAACTGTTTTATAAATGTGTTTTTATTTTGGTCACAAACGAGCAAAGATTAATCATAATAATCGTACAAAGAATACCAATTTTCAGTTAACTCAATTCTTAAGCATCTATTTGTTTATGTGACTTGCCAAGTATTGAACTGATTTTAAATTTATTTCAGTTTTCATTTGTTACATCAACTTTGTTTGTTAGTTTGAATAATTTGACATTTGGAGAATTGAAATTTATTATGTTACATAGCTAATGTCATTGAAAAATAAGAATAATGTTTGGTTATTTGTTACATGATACTTCTATATAAATGTATATGCTATTCAATATTAGTGATGTAATTATGATATTACTATAGGCTTCGGTTTGTTACATTATACTATTCTATTTAATTGAAGGGTTAGCTATTTGCATAATTCAAGATGACTTACATAATCAATAAGATGATATAGTGATAAATGAGAAAAAAAAAGATTTGATACAAACGCCCACTTATTAAATGCACCATAAGTCTCATTAGTATAGCCGATGAAATTTATCAGGAACAGAATAAAACTGAATTGAAAGAAGGAATATCACCAGTGTAAGTAAAACTGTGGAATAATCATCATTGCGTGAACCTAAACGAGGGGGAGGGTTGCTAACTTTCTATGACAAATTATGTTAACAATGAATAATACTTATACAAATACTTGGTCCGTAACTCACTTGCATAGAGTGAAGTGTATTTACATACTTACATATCTGAACGAAAATGGCGACTCAAACAAATATTACCAGTTATCATAGGGGGTTTATAGAAATTGTTGAATTTCAAAGTTTACATTAAACCACTGATTTGACATTCAGTGTTTTTTAAGGTTAAGAGTGCTGATGATTTAGTCCTACTTGGTTAAGACGCTGACGAAATGCTGTGTCTTTTGACTACCCTAAACAACAATGCAAGCATGTTTAGGATGCGATTCTCCCTCTCAAAATGCACAATGTTGCTTCAAGATTTGTTTGCGTCAGCACCTAAACTATTGATAGGGAGTGGGGAAGTCTCATCAGTGCTGATGGCCTGGTGACTGACGAAATCTCAGCACGGATACAGAATGCTCAATTGGCTTTTGCCAACCTGCGTCACATATGGCATAGGCGAGATATCCGTTTGCTGACTAAAGGAAGAGTGCACTGTGCAGTAGTTTGCTCCGTCTTACTTTATGGCTTTGAAACTTGGCCAGTGAGAGTAGAAGATATTCGTAAGTTACTGGTTTCCGATCAACGGTGTCTCCTAAGCGTTGCTCGTTTATTATTTGACAACCGAGTAAGCAATGATATTGTTAGGAAACGAGTACTATGTAGGGATGGCAAATAAATTGGCGAACTATTGAAACTTCATCAGTTGAGATGATTGGGATATGTGTTGCGTATGCCTAACCATCGACTGCCTCGTCAAGCTATGTTTTGCGATGTAGGAATAGGTTGGAAAGGTGCTAGGGGTGGCCAAACCAAAACATAGAACAAATCCATGAAGTCATAGACAAATGGACTGAGTCATGTCAGTAGGTGTCGACTACGTGGTTGGGGTCCGTGAGATGTTAATAATCGATGGTTAGAGACCCTGAATGACATGGCTCAAAACCGTTTGCAATGGCGCGGGTGCATTCATTCGTTGTGTTCTCTCAAATTCTAACCTTCTGAATTCCTTATCACCTTTTTCTTTTCAAGTTAATTTCACTAGATTTTACTTCTTGAATAATATCCTCGAACCCTGATCTCTCTGATTACTTCCAATACCTTTACCTCTACTATTATGGGATTTGAAGTGACAATTGCATCTCTGTGCTAATGTAGTATGGCAACATGAACTGATGTAGGTACGTAAGTACAAATTTCTACGTTACTGTTGGTTGATTGATTGAAGGTTAAGAGCTCTTCGTGAAATCTAAGATTAGGTTTAGTTCCTGGTGGGGTCATGTATGTGAATTATAGTGAAGCCTAACACTACGATGAAACCGCTGTCCTGTGCTTCCTGGTTTTTAGTGCTCATCAGTTTATAGTGCTAACCATGAAATATTACTTGTAGTCGGATTCAAATAGGGCACTTATAAGTATTAAGCATGAGATTGATTTTCTGCTATTTTTCCGTCCTTATAAATCAGGTACAGCATGTTAGCCAATATTCCAGGATTGAATATTCTCTATGGCAGCTCAGGAATAAAAAATTTGATTGAAACCAAAGTTTTTGGAGCCCTACTGTGCCGCTATTTAGTCCTGAGGGTTGTAATACTTTTTGATTTCTAAAAATTTCCAAATCAGGAACCAAAGTTCACTTAATATTTATATGGTTAAAACCAAATCAGAGACCATTTCTGGCCAACAAAGTTTTGTCGTTTTTCACCAATTGCAATTTCTTTGGGATTTAAAGGCTTCATCTATATTTCTTGATATCTCGTTTTGGACAGTATTTTGTTAAATCGTTCTAATACAGTTTACAGTTTTACAACATATACAAATATTTTGAAAAAAATTTTCACACATTCAACATGTGAATATATATTTTTTGAATTAGATCTTCTTCATGAAGGTGATGAACTATTATCTGTTAATGGAATTGAACTTTTGGGCAAAGATTTGAATACAGTGTGTGATATAATGGTAAGCTGTTTTATTCACTATCAATTTACGTAATCAATGGAATCAGTTAAAGATTTTCACGTATTCTTTAATATTGGTTCATTTGTAAATGATAATAGAGTAGTGATGAATTAATTGTAACTGATGATCAGATATTACTATGTTATCTAATTTTACGGGTACTATTTTTTGTGATTAATAAATGATATTGATCAATTACTAGTAACGGAATCTCTGTATGTTTATAATTTGTCAATGGGGTTGATTCGCATTCCCATAAATGTTAATGTTTCTACTGAGGGCTGAATTTCACTTTCATTACTTTGTAAGATACAGTATTATTTATTTGAATGCTGAGTGAAAATTGATATCTCGAGTTTAAAAGGCATCAATGAATCTAGAGTGTTTGAGTCATAATTCTATAACATAGTGTATGTTGTTTTTTTGTTTCTACAGAAATCAGTATTGAGTTACTTACTTTACTTACTTACGCCTGTTACTCCTAATGGAGCATAGGCCGCTCTGACCAGTATTTTCCATCCTACTCTTTCCTGGCCCTCCCTTTCCATTTCTGTCCAATTTTTGTTCATTCTTTTCATGTCTTTCTCTGTCTGTCGGAGTAATGTGTTTCTTGGCCTTCCTCTTTTCCTTTTACCTTGAGGGTTCCAAGTGAGGGGTTGTCTTCTAACGCAGTTGGGTAGTATTGAGTTGGTTTCTCTAAAAGGACAAAAATGTTAATTGGTTGGTGGTGCACTCAAATAAGATAACAGTATAGTGAAATCTGTTATTAGCATACCTTTGTTAAGTGTTCATCAAATGCTAGGAAGATATAAACAACAGAAACACTGGAACATTTTCAGTTAAAATAAATATATTTTCAAGGGTGGATTAGTTCACTTTTTCAAACATTAGCATTCGGGGATAGAGATAAAGTCGTATTAGAAGGGTCGATAGTAGGGATACAAATGTTAGGGGAAGTATGGAAAGGATTTGGTTGTGGTCAAGGTGATCTCATTAATTGTTAAAGGTATGTGTGTGGTAGCTGTTGTCATTTCCCAGTTACTTACATAGTAGAAGAGTATGTCTTGAGAATCACTAAAGGGAAACTGGATTTGTGTGAGTCTTGATAAACTGAGAGCTTGACCATAGATCACGGGGGATAATTGCTTGTCAAACACTGATTTTTTTCAAGTAGTTCTTGGTGTATTACCCTGTTCTTCAAAGAGCTTGAAGTGGTGGAGCAGGTTGCTATACTATTTTCGGACCCAACCTTTTCTAATAGTCTCCTCTTGAAGAATGGCAGCATCGCTAAAAATACTGATTGTTGAAGGTAAGGACATCACCCTTGGACTTTAGGCTTCTGTGTCTAATCTTACTGTTCTCCAGTCTACTTTCTAGGTATGATAGTATCTAAAGAAAAAGTGTTCTCGCCATTATTGCTTGATTAGGTCAATAAGATTATTTAATAATGGTTACTTTTTAAAAACTTATTTTGACTACGATTGAGTATTTGTGATGAGGAGCTGTTTTAGTCGTTTGTAAGCTAGCTTAATTGAACTGTGATTCTATTGAAAGATGAAACATCGATAAGTACAGTGATTATATTTCAATAGAGATAAACTAATTTGTATATAATAAGAGATTGATAATCAACTAATAAAGAAATAACTTGTATCTGAACAGTCAGAATAGACCATTGGAATATTTTATAGTTTTTATTTAAGTGTACTTCCACTCTTATGTTCACTTTTGCTTTATTTATTATTTAACATGGAAATAGCTACATTTCTTGTTCATTGGAAATTTATAATCTTAAGATGATAATGAAAAATTATTTTTCATTTTAAATTTTAATTTAAGCAGTTTTATTTTGAAATGTATCGAATGATAACAATTATACATTACAAAACGTCCATTTCAGGCTTCATTACATGGAAAGATTGTTCTTCTTGTTGCCCCAGCAATTGATCCGTATTCATCAGTGTCAACTAAAGGAATCGTAAGTCTATGCGTATTTTTATTCTTCTTCATTATTAGAATCATAAATTTTCATTAAGACAATATTTATTCAGGTGAAAAAAAATGTTTCTAATTATTTAAAATCTATTAATTTGCGTGAAAGTTAATAACCAAATGTAAGGTTATTAAACAAAATGCTTTTTGTTAGGTCTAGAGATGTTAGTTGAAATCTCAGTTTATGATGTATGATGAAGTCTGTTCAACTCTGGTTGAAAATCAAACGGTCTAACCATTAAAGTATTTGTAGAAGTATTTGTTATGTCCTTACGTCAACCAATATCACAGATGACCTTTTAGTCGCCAACATAGAAAAAGAACGAAAGACTTAACTACGAGGGCCCAACAGTAACTTGCCCCAACTGAAGAAGAAGAAGAGCAAAGACCAATTATCGTCGAAATTTTCCGTTATTATATTTCAAACATTACTTTATAAACAGACAGTGAGATCACACCGCACCACTTAATGGAAATGAACAACTCTGCATGAATGGGCCGATAGTAGTAGTGAGCAGGATAGATTGTAATGAATAAACTGTCAATAAAAAAGAAACAATCAATCATGTTTTAAACAACGGAAGTTGGTAAACGTAATTGGTTGGGATGGGGATAAATGGGAACCTCAAACAGTAGTTAAATCAGTGGGTATGACTCGATACACCACCTTAATGAACCACAGCACTCAGCTTTTAACTAAATCTTATTTTTATTTCAATTCAAGAAATTGCCCTTGATTTTCATTTAAATGATCGATAAATATCTGTTTGCGATGCATGACATAATCTATCTATTTTTATTTGAGTTTTTTTCTGTTCTGATTCGAACTGACAAAATAATAACCAAAATTGTTAAAAAGCAATCCTACTTAAGTTCGTAGTTGAATGTTATGATAAGTCAGTGTAACACTCTTAGAATCTATTAGTGGACCCTGCCTGTTCTTTTAATTTCATATTTTACAGATGTATAATCAACAGGAATAATAATTTTAAATTGCATAACAGACATGGAGAACTCTGTATATGTCAAATTAGAATTATTTACAATGACTATGTGTACAACAAAGTATCATGATTCGAATATAATGTGTGATAGAAAGTTTTTTTGATGAGAAGGAATGGAAGAAAACGATGAATTTTAATATTAACTACTAGTAGTAAGGACAGACTACAATTTTTTGGACAAAAAATCCATATATACATCTATTTATATTTATATTTAATTCTGTGGATCAATGTGAACAGTAAATAAGCAGTGTTTTGAAAATATCTTCTTGCTTAATTTAATACATTTCGTGTTCTAACGGAAATCTCAAATTTTTCAAGCTACAAAATTTTCATTCTAACAGTCCGTGAATGGAATCATTTATGTATAAATGCAAATTATATGTACATTATAACAAGTCTACTGGTAATTATACTCATTGTAGGTTTTTCATTTCCGTACTAACTTATGTTTTAGAGTTTTAAGTTTTGTTTCCAAATTTATTCGTGAAAGTTTACTTCAAGTCATTTGTGTCGATAACGTTTACTAATTTACATTATGTTTGCTTTCCTGGTCTCTGTGTACATGTTATTTTGTTTTTTAAATTTGACAGATACATTTACGTGCATTATTTACTTATGAACCAAGTGACGATCGTTATCTAGCATGTAAAGAATTGGGATTAGGATTTACTAAAGGAGACATTATACATGTTACTGGCAGAAAAGATCCGAATTGGTGGCAAGCTTATCGGTTAGTTAAATTACTGTTTGATGATAACTTATTTCTACCCATTTGTAATTTCCGAATGCTATTGCGTACATGTTTGTTTTGTAGAGAATTTTATGCTAGCTGTGTGTGTGTGTGTGATTGTGTGAAGGAGAACATATGGTAGTTATCCACTTTAATATCTGAATGAAAAATAAGTCGACCGTTAATGATACATACACCTTTGAGGGACAAAAATACAAGTGTTCATTAGAGCTATTTAGGGGTTCACTGTTGTATAAATGATTAATTCAAGAATGTATGAGAAACTTGTGATAAGGTGATAAATGACATTCACTATCATGTATTATCATAATTTCAAATATGTTGAGAAATAGTTACTATGAGGATGAATATGCTAAGGTTACTTTGAAAGAAAAAAACTGCCTTTATAACTAATAGGCCATGTGAAATTTGCTTATGTAAGTATGTTCAGTGAAAGCACAACTCAGAGTTTTGTCTTTTCAATATTTTTTTTCTTGTTAACTTAGGTTTATAGTGTAATCGTGTAATATTTTTCCTTAACTAATTCTCATTCTTTGTTGTTCTGTGTATTTTATATGAATTGTAGAAGTGATGAAGATCGTGGTTTGTCTGGTGCAATAGGAACATTAGCTGGTCTCATACCTAGTCCAATTTATCAACGTAATCGTGCTATATTGCGCTTGAAATATTGGTTAAATAGTGAAGGTGAAGAAATTGAATTAGAAGACGATTCAACAGACTCTGATTCAACTGCATCGAATATTGTAAAAGTAGAAAAGTCTACGGGTAAAGTGAAACAGAAGAAATTTTTAGGAATCAAAGTTTCAACACTCAAAAATCCTCACATTGTCAGTAGACCTGCATTGCCGTCAAATCATGATATTAGGAAAGCTTATTCAAAAAATGACCTAACATCTGTGAATACAAGTGAAGTTGATTTATCGGATATAGCTGTACCTACACCAGAAGATGACTCACGTTGTGTAATGAACAGTACAGTGTTAAGTTCAGCTTATGGTGATCGTTTGTCTGGTTTAACAAAACCTACTGACCCTTCGTCAGCTAGTGCAATCAATGAATGGTCAGGTTTGTCTTTTATCAAAATTGATTCCATTGTATAAGTGTATCTTTCTTGGTGATCTTTTATTGTTTGAATTGAGTGGCTTACCTATAAAGATTTCATTAACTGTCTAAACATCATCATTTCAAACTTTAGTGGCTAAAAGATGCCACTCGGAAAATAGAATTTAATGAAAAACTCATGGTTTTGTGTCAATAATGTTTGAATCATGATAACTAGATATGGCTGTAATGAAGTCTTGTATCTACACATACCTTTGGTTTTTGTTGGTATTTGCTTGTAAACTTCGGTGAAACTGTATGCTCACCTTAATAATTAGGTAATAAAATAATCGTTTCAAAATAGTAATAACGATTAAATTTGCGTGCAGAAATATATCAAAAAAGCCGAAGAACTACTTGAAGATAAAAGCGTACACATACTAATCGACACAAATCCAAAAAGTTTGACAACCGAATCTCAAAGACTTTATACAAGCTTGTCAAAGTAGGACAGACATCAAAGCAAGATGAATGAAATCCAGTGGACCAGTGCTCTCACGAGTCTATGGTAGGTCGAAACTGCACGAACCTGACATATTACTATCCCTCTCCGAAACTACAACATACAGGTTATCGAGAAGAAAAGTCAGTAATATTGAAACATTTAGTTACTTCATCTGATCACTCCATCAGACCTGTCATACAATTTCTGGATTAGGTTAAGGAGATTCAGATCATCAACGACGAACTGACGATATCGTTTGATGTAACAACCTTAGTCACCTCAAATGAACTACATTTAGTGAAGAAGACGCTATTCTTACTCCTTACTATTGACGCAAATCTCCATAAGTACACCGAATTTCAAAGTTTGTCTACCAGAACTCGTCAATTTTTATGCTTAACAACATATTTACAGTCTAACAATAAGATCTATGTACAAACAAAAGAACACTAATGGGGTCACCAATATCAGAACGTATTACATGTGCAATGGTGCAGAGACTGGAAACCTCGGTTCTAACAGTTATCAATCCGAAATTTGGGTTCGTTATGTGGACGACACATTTGTCATCGCTAAAAAAAGACTGGCTGGAAAAACTTATAATCTTATCAACAACGTCTTCGGTGACTTAAAATTCACAATGAAAAAGCAATTGAACTACAGACCATCATTCTTGGATGCGTTGGTCACCGAAATAGATACAAGAAATCTGGGGACTCCATATACTGGTGGCCATCCCATGGAGATTAAATTCTTTGTTACAGTAGTAACAACTGAATTTCTCACAAAATCAACTGCGTACAAACTTTATTCTAAAGGGCATGAACATAAGGCACCATACATACAGATCGGAAGAATGAAGAAAAATACCTGATGATTATCCTTCAAGAGAAGGCTACCCACACAGCTTTATCAAAATATACCAATGCAACTCATTCGTCAAAGAAAAAACATATATATATCAAAACCAACAAATGTATCATTCTATCATGCACAAAAGACGTGCCAGAAACCAGAACGAGATTACTGGAGCCATTTGGAATAGGTATGGCATACAGACCAGCAAAATCACTTAAATCAATCTTATGTAAACCAAAAAACAAAATGACAAGAGAAAAAAGTAAGACATCATTTACAAAATAAACTGTTCCAATCGCGAAAAGCACTACATCAGACAAAGCGGACGTCCCATTTAGCTTAACTTATGTAAACATCAATTAACAGTCAAACACCAATGATATTTATCTTCAGCTTCCCTTATATTAATTCATGTTGACAACTGTGGACACATATTCGATTGGCAAAATGTTGAAATACTGAATAGATGGAATACAGAAAATACTAGAGAATTTTTAGGGACTTGACACTCAAATGAATCAGCAATCAACAACAATCGACATTGATCCAGTTTATCAATCAGTCAGAAAAATCGTAGACAAACTTAAGATCACGAAACAGATCAAAGGGGGATACAACGATAAGTTAAAGGTCAATAACACAACCAACGAAAATCAAGATCAATTGGACAAGCTAAGAGTCATGCGTGGAGAAATTCGATTACTTCACCTCTACCTGAAGTTGGTACTAATGATGTTCTTCAGGAGAACAATGAAAGCTCCACAACCATACCATCCAACTCAGAGTACGAAACTCTACCATGATATAACCACAGTCTAAAGATATTTCCATTTTTAACTGTCTAGTTATTTAATTACGAATATAACTAGAAACAAAGTTATCGTAGAATTCACAGAATTTCTGTACAATTGAATAGTATGAATGATATACTAATGAAGATTGTTCACTGATTACTTGAAAGTCAACAATATTGGTGAATATCAATGTAGAAAGCACACTTTTTTACTGCTTTCCTTTTTCTAATATTGTTATGAGTATTCATAGCTTCGTGATAACTTTTATTCAACTTTCTTTCTTAGTTATACTATTATTTTCCTTATTAACTTATTTAATTAGCCGCTGGACCAGTTTGGGGTCAACATGGTTATAATCTTCGAACTTTACGTGCACATCGTAAACGTAATAGACGAAAACCCCTTTCAATAAATAAATCGTCTCCATGTCTAGAAGGTTTGAAATCTTGGAAAAAACATAAAACCCATGGCGAGTATTGTCCATCTCTTGTTCCTGGTATGTTCGAAAAAAATTCCTGAACTTTAATCGTTACAATATTGATGCATTACACAGTATAATTTCTTATTTAATTTCAGAATTTATTCAGATTACTACTACCAGGAATCTAGAGTTTTATCACATTTTTTAATTGTATGGATAGATGTTTAATTAATTATATCAATAGAATTTTATGAGTTTTATTTATACCTATTTTGCTTGTTATGTGAATTAATCCTTTGATAGTCTCATTGGCAATTATAGTTGTTTTCATGTCATTTCTACTCTTTAAATTGACAAAATGAATAACTAGATTGTAGAAACAATACAGTATTAGTGCTAATGGGGAAAGCTAGATTTTGAGAATGCGTTTCGAGAAGGCAAACATGAAGGAATATTAGGACTGAGAATCTAGAGTAAGAACTTTGGACTGTGTCACTTCACGTCTCCAACCAATGATCGCCATCATCATATGAATAACGTAATCTTAGGCCAACTTTTATGGTATATTGCTGTTTCGCTCCCATGTAACACAATGTTATACACTGCTAAAAAAAGTTTCACAATCACAATCGAACAAACTGTTCAGTTGTCTCGGGTTCTGAATAGTCTTGAAGTTTGTACTAGTCCAATTAAAGGCAAACCGACTTGAATATTTGTTCAGAATTTTATTTCAATGCTCATTTTTGTTGTGACAGTTTTTTTTTTCTGTGTACTACATTGTTATGCACACATCTTAGCGGATTAAAGAATTGCTTTTAAAGCTTGTGTGTGTATGTGCGTGCAACATATCGATTGGTTGTGTAAAGAAAATATCAAAAAGTTACCTAGGTTTAATCATTTATGCATTGATCAATACAAATATATGCAAATTATTAAAGCAACTTAAGTCCATCTGTGTGCGTATGTGCGTATGTATGTATGTATGTGAATGAGCTTGTGATTAATGGTGATGTTCTTTAGTAATAATCCATAGTCTAGTATGTATGTTTATGAAATAATTCTCTTCATATTTATTTGCTTGTTTGTGTTGTGTTTTTTTACGAACTACTTAAATGTTGATGCATAGTTTGTCATAGATATATTGGTTTTTAAAATTTGCAATACCAACACGTGATTTAACCAGCTAAGATGATGACATAGAGCTGAAACTGAAAAACAAACCCCTCTGGTCTTCAAATAACTAACTAAACAGATGGTTTTCGTCACGTACCGATATCAGCTTAAAAAAATCATTAAAAACCAAGGTGTTTCCATAATAATTTTTTTTTTGATCGTTGGTTAGGATTGTGAGTGCAAACTACTTTGAAATGCATTGCTTATCATATGAAACAGCTGCCTTCTGGTTCTTATTTACTTTGACTGATACTAGTTAAGATTGAGCGTAACCTCTTAAAAGTGGAACTAAAAATTCTTACAACCTTAAAACATTTTGTTTTTGTAGTCTTTGTGATACTGTTTTATATCTTTGAGCTAAGATTTTTTCTATCACTACAAATTATTTTTCCAACGATTGATTACCTTACATATTCTGTCAATCTCTACAGATCAATATAGCTAGCTACTAGCTGATCTCACTAACAAATGATAGTTTCTTGAATAATTAAGTGGCATATATAGAGCAAACTGAAATTTGTCACAACAATAACTATGAGCTTGTTTGAATGAAAATCGATGTTAATTGAGTGAGTACAGGTGTTTCATCTTAGAAATGGATACAAATCAATATATATTTATCAGTCAGTCGTACGTTTTAAAAACGAAAGAAATACATCATGACATTGAGAAACAGTTGAAGACAACAAGTCAAAATAGAAATTTCTTATTGTTCACGATATAATTTACTCAAGTAATATAATTATATTCATAGGAATTTATAATAAAAAAATATTGTAATCAATAGAAAAAGTTAAAAAAAATTCTTTCAAGTATTGCCAGTTAATTAAATGATAGTGAAAATGTTATGATCATGGTCGATTGAATGATTACACGTATTGCTCTGACAAAAAAAATATGCAAATTTGAAACATTGAGCTGTTAATGCCTCTCCAGTTTACAAATTATTGATTAGTCGTCTGCTTGAGTTAAATCATTTGATCGTGTTTCAACATTCGAATTATTGGTGGTTATTTTACACTTTTTTTTTAAATCTATGCGTGCTTATTTTCAGCGCTATAGATAAACACTAATATGGGTGTTAATTTTTAACACGTTCATGAATCAGACGCTGGATTGAGAAGACAATAAAAAGTTTGACTGGAGAAAACAGTTATCCATAGATATAGGGAGTTTATTGTACACAATTCCTACTCTAGTTTGCCCTTTAAACTCAATGTTCATGAAAATTTTTTTATTTCTAGTTGTATAATCTTTCAGGCTGTCATTTCGGTTTAATGTTTCTATCGATCAACCTATATGTGTTTGCATTTCTAATTAATATTTACTAAAGTCAAAGTATATCGTTATCTATCGTGTCATCGAAGAATATTTTAGCACCCGTCGTGAACAAAACGTGAATCAAGTTCTCCTTTCTGGTCAGTGACATCCGATTTTGGGAATTTATGTATTAAATATTTCAAATTTATTTTTGTGCATGAATATTTGTAGAGAAATCTCTGAACAATTTTGATACAACGTCAGAGAATTAAAAATTCCTTGTTCATACCCTGTTCTATGTCTTTGTCATCCTCGTCAAGCGAACAATCACTTCTTGTACATTGGTGTTCATATATTACTTTTCTTTGACTTCAAAATTGATACACAACTTTCCTTTGATATATTACTTACTTACTTACTTACTTACGCCTGTCACCCCCAATGGAGCATAGGCCGCCCACCAGTTTTCTCCAACCAACTCTGTCCTCGGCTTCCCTTTCCAGTTCTGTCCAATTTTTGTTCATTCTTCTTATATCTTTCTCTATTTCTCGGCGTAATGTGTTCCTTGGCCTTCCTCTTTTCCATGTGAGGGCTTGTCTCGTGACGCAGTTAGGTGCTTTTCGTAGTGTGTCCTATCCACTTCCACCGCTTCTTCCTGATTTCCTCCTCCACTGAAATCTGGTTTGTTCTCTCCCACAGTTCGTTGTTGCTGATGGTTTCTGACCAACGAATCCGAAGTATTTTGCGCAGGCAACTGTTAATTAATACTTATATCTTCTGGATGATGGCTTTCGTAGTTTTCCGGGTTCCCGCTGCATACAGTAGAACTGTCTTGACATTTGTATTGAAAATCTTTATTTTGGTTTTGGTTGAAAGTTGTTTGGAGTTCCAGATATTTTTCAACTGTATAAATGCAGCCCTTGCTTTGCCAATCTGTACCCTCACATCTGCATCGGATCCATCTTGATTGTCGATGCTGCTGCCCAGATATGTAAAGGTGTTAACGTCCTCCAAGGCGTGTCCATCAAGAGTGATTTGGTTGACGCATTTTGTGTTGTGTCGTAGAATCTTGCTTTTCTCTTTATGTATGTTGAGAACTGCTGCTGCTAAGGCTGCCGCTATACTGGTCATCTTTTCTTGTATTTGTTGTTGCGTGTGCGTTAGAAGAGCCAGGTCATTTGATATATAAAATTTTTAAATATTTTGTTGTGGTTTGAGCGTCTGATTTTAAATGAGTTGAAATACAAACATATATAGGTCGAGCTAATGACATTGTCTAAAAGAATTCGGCAAAGTTACTCATTAACTGACTTACAATGCTTTCAGCATTATTTATTTGTGTGAATAGGAGAGTATGGATGTCAGATAAATCGTAAACACTCTTTAAGTTTTCAACAGAAATACTGTTGTTTTTACAGTAGCAAAAGCAAATACCTTTGGATTTCGACTCAGTGGTGTGATAAAAAAAGCTCTTCAAATTAACTTATATTCGTGTAATATTATTATGTAATACTGAAAATTTTGAGAATACTGGTAAGATGATTCGAAGTCAATTATCAGGAAATCATTTACATTCACTTGTCTTATGCACGGTTATTGTTTAATATTTAGCGTTTCTGTTTTCAACATTTATCTAATTTCTTTTTTTATACTAATGAGTAGTGTGATAATTTAAGTCAAAAAAGTAAGCCCGTCATAATTAATTTTCAGCTGACATTACTACAAACAGTGATAATAATGACAACAGTAGTAATATTGTTCGTTAGTAAATTGAGGAAAATTTATTAGGTTGTCACAGGTTCATCAAACTTGGGTATAAATTATTCCATGCAGGGTGGAAATAGGGTTAGTGCAAAGGTAGAGTAATAACAGTTACAAATAAACTTTCACTCAAGAATTCCGTTATTTGTCGCCTGGTTGATTTATTCGAATTGGTACTTGAAGACTTTTTTCTCTTATTCCTTTTCTCACTGGTTATATATATCAGTTCTGAGTGGTAAGAGATATTTCTCTCTCATAATTTTAGTTCCAAACGTTGAAGAACAGTCGAACGATGATCCTGTGGCTTGGTTAGATAAAGAAGTTGCCCGTGGTCATATGGCCCATTATAGCTTGTGGACTTATGAACCTGTTGCCCAGTATATCCCACAGCCACTTCGTAGACGCCCAATTGTGTTTGTTGGACCAGCACATGTTGGTCGGCATCACATTTTACAGCACCTTATTCAACGTGAACCTGATCGTTTTTGTCAAGCAGCTATTTGTGAGTCATTTTATGATCTTTCCTCGTACATATACACTTTTATCGACTAGAGTAATGACCTGCGTTTATAAATTCTACAAATATTTATCTAATGTTTTATAATTCCAGCTAGCTGACTTGATGTTTGTTTTTTTCGATGAAATTCGGAATGTTCCCTAACAAAACTGGAAACCTAAGAGAGTATATTGTGTCACGATTTTAGTAAATAAGTATTTATTCTACAAGTCTTAATGAACACTTCCGAGTGACACCTATCCCCTGCGTAGAATACTCTTTCAGACAAATAAATTTCATAATTCAACATCAGATGTTATTTTATAATATGAACACTGTATTAAGTAAACGCATTCAGTATATTTTTCGTCACCACTCTTTCAAATAGTTTCATTTTGAAAATTGTTATTGAGGATGATGCTGAAAATGGTTGACTAAGTATGCTTATTGATTGCTTTGTAGTATAGAATAAAAATTTCATTGTAGCATCTATTAATGCTGATACCAATGATATTCCTACGAATAATACTTAGCGACGCTTTAATGGCTTAGAAACTAGTAAAATAAATTAAAAACACTAGCAACTTTTTTAATAGGATAGATGAATTTATGATGATCACTAAAATCTAGGAAGAGCATTTCATCCTATTTGAGACTCGTCAGATAAGTGTGCCTGCGTTTTGTATTGATGTTCACGTCGGGAATGGAACCCAGTACTATTCGTTTCAGATTTCCAACGCGCTCTCTAATAGTGATGTCAAGGTTACTGGAGCAGTTTACTGTTGTTGATATTCAGGACTAAAGTGGATCACTTTCAGCTGGCCCGTATACAACCTCAACAGCTGCCCCAATTTTACTTGTTAGTTGCAAGTTTTCTTATACCTGGGTTGTAAATATCAACACTAGAATACAGGTACGAGTAACAGACTTATTCCAAATTAAACAAAATACGCTTTGTAAAACTCAGTGGTAAACACAATTAACACATTTCGAGAGTGAATCTCTGTTACCCTTAATTAAGCATAGGCTGCCGACTAGCATTCTCCAACCTACAATGTCCTGGGCATTCTTTTCCATTTCTATCTACTCGTTCTTCATTATTTTCACATGTGTTTCGATTTCTCAGCGTAATGTGTTTTTTGGTCTTCCTCTTTTCTTCGGCCCTGAGGGTTCGAGCTTGCCTTGTGATGCAGTTGAGAGATTTCCACAAAGTTTATCCCATTTGTTACCAGCGCTTTTTCCTAATTTCTTCTTCATAGTAGGTTGCAGCTGATAGTGTCTGGCCAAAAGATCCTCATTATCTTGCGTAGAAAACTCTTAATAAACGCCTATATCTTGTGAATGATGGCTTTCGTGGTTCTCCAAGTTCCCATCCATGCAGTAAAACTGTCTCGACATTCGTATTGAAACTTATGACTTTGGTTTATGTTTTGAATTGCAGATTTTCTTCAGTTGTAGAAATGTCGCCCTTGCTTTAGCAGTCCTCACCTTCACATCTGCATCAGATTCATCTTGTCAGTCAGTGATGCTATGCAGATATGTAAAGGTTTCCGCGTCCTCCTTAAGCTTCTCCGTCATGTTTGGTTTGGTTGGTACATATTTTGATTTGTCGGAGGATCTTAGTTTTTCCCTCTCGTAAAATGAGACCTACTGCTGCAAAGGCTGTTACTCTGCTGGCCGTCTTCATATACATTTATCGTTATATGTGAGGTAGAAGGGCCAGATTACCTGTGAAGTCCAGATCGTCAAGCTGCATCCTAGTTGTCCACTGAATAATCCAGTCAACCATCAGAAGGAAAAAGGATGAGAGTAATCAAACTTGCTTGACACCGGTCTTCACTTCGAACGAGTTTGTAAGCTGTCCTCTATGCAACATTTTGCACTTAAACCTAGCATAAAAATTGTGCATAATGTTGACTCTTCTCAGGTACATCGTAGTGTCGAAGAAGCTTCAATAGTGTCATCGTGTCAACGCCGTCAAATTCTATTTTCTAGTCAAAGAAGTTGGTGTGAAGTGCTGAGGTCCACTCAACTGATTGTTCCACAATGATCCGCAGTGTTGCGATTCGGTCGATATATGATCAATCCCTACGGAATCCAACCCACTGATCTGAAAGTTGGACGTCTACTGAATCCTAATTCGACTGAACGACAATATTTTGAAAAATTTTCCTTGTATTGATAGTGAGAAAACTGAGGCAGGCTCAATAGATTGTAATTGGCAAATTTACGCTCTTAGTCAATTAAAAACGATAACATTACATTGAACACTCCATTTGCACACCATCTTTGAGTCCTGACTTCCAACGCTCCAGCCTTCTTCCATTCCTGCTGTTGCTTCCTTTACTTCCTGTCGGGGCTCTAAATCTTTCTTGCTTTTGCTCTATTTGCTTTCCGTTTTCCTCTTCTGACCGTAAGACATCTTCTTTCACGTCCATTCTTATACTACTTATATCGTTCGTATAAGTAGCACACACCACACTCGTCCCCCCTTTAACAAGTCGCTCTCTCAGCCTTTCTGATCTCCGTAAAGCCGTCTTCTTTATCAGTGTTTGTGGCTCGCCTTCTTGGCGCACTGGGAACCACCTTTGGAGTTCACTGGCATTCACGCGTTTCTGTTTGTTTCCTTTCTGGATCGTATACACTGCGCCGCGCCTCTCGGTGACGACGTACGGTCCCTCCCACTTCGGGATCAGCTTACCTGACCCTGGCCCTCTTCCTGTGGTACATTTCCGTTCTCTACACTTCACTTGGTCTCCCACTTCAAACGGTCTCCAGTTCTTTCTCTCCTGTTCTGACTTCTGCATGTCTGATGTTTGTTTCTCTCTCACATTCCTGATTGCTTGTCTCCGCTCTGTTCTCAATCTTGTTGTATTCCATCTCTGTTGTTGCGGCCAGGTTTTATCATGCGTTGGTAGTCTCGGCCGTCTGCCATACATCAGCTGGAACGGTGACTTCCTGGTTGTTCCCTGTGCCGAGGCACGATGTGCCAGCAAGATTAATGGTAATTCTTTCTCCCAGTCACCCCCTTTAGATGCTAGCCATTCCTTTAGCGTTCGGTTATTCCTTTCCGTTAACCCATTCGTTTGTGGATGATACGGCGTTGTTCGTACTCTCTTGATACCTAACTGCTTTAGACGGGACTTGAACTCATCACTCTCGAAACCGGGACCTTGATCGGTTAATATTATCTTTGGTATCCCATGGTCAGCCACAATGTGCCGCATTACCGCTTCCGTCACCGTCCTTGCACGTTGGTCCGCCATCGGCACGGCATTTACCGATCGTGTGGCATGCTCAGTCATCACCAGCAGGTACTGGTTACCACTTGTCGTCTGTGGGAACGGTCCCATAATATCTACTGACCACAAATCACCAACTGCTGTTACTGGAATTGACTGCAATGGCGGTCGTATGCATCGATCCCCTTTCATTAGTTGACATCGCTGGCACGCTAATACATATCGTGCAACATCGTCTCTCATACCTGGCCAGTACGCACTTTGTTGCAGCAAATCAGTTGTCCGTGCAATACCTGTGTGCGCTACCTGGTGACATTCACGAATCATGTCCTGGCGCAGATCTTTTGGGATTATTGCTACCCAATTCTCGTCATCATCCCGCCAGGTCAAGGCTCCGTATCCGTTCACTCTCAGTCTCTCCTTCTGCCTCAGCAACACTGTTAATTCTTTATCTGTTCCACTCTTGTCAACATGTTCTCCCTCTTTTATCACTCTGATTACCTCCCGAAGGTTAGGGTCGGCTTTCTGATGCCGGACGAGTTCTAGGGGATCTCCCTCTAGGCCGTTAACTGCACACGCTATCTCTGGAAGTTCGGCTTCGGTGTCCGGTCTTGACAAATAATCTGCCATTACATTTTCCTCCCCTGGCACATGCCCGATACTAAAATCATACTCCTGCAGATGTAGCATCCATCGAGCCAACTTCCCCCGAGGGTCTTTTGCTGTTTTTAACCATTGTAGGGGCTTATGATCCGTCTCGATGTGAAAACGCCGACCCAGTAGATACGGTCTCCATTTGTCTACCGCCCATACAATCGCTAAACACTCTTTTTCTACTGTAGAATACTTCTGTTCTGTCGGCGTAAGGACACGGCTGGCATACTCCACCACTCTGTCAGACTGCCTCAAGACCGCACCTGTACCGTGATCGCTCGCATCAGTGGTCACTGTAAATGGCTTCTCGGGTTCCGGCAGTCTCAGCGTCATTTGGCGGTCATCTAACAGCTCTTTGATTCGGTCGAAAGTTTGTTGAGCGGTCTCTGTCCACGTAAACCTCGCATTGCTTAGCACTTTATATAGAGGTGCTGCTATATCGTTGAAGTTCTTCACGAATCTGCTGTAGAACGCCGCTCTTCCCAGGAACTGTCTTAACTTCCTTTTTGAGTTGGGAACTGCAATATTCTTTATCGTTAGAATCTTCTCCGGCAGTGGTTTTATTTCTCCATTGCCTACTTTATGCCCCAGCAACGTGACGCTTCTTTTCGCTATCTGAGACTTGTCTTTGTTAATTCGTAAACCAAACTCATCAATTCGCCTTAGGACCGCCTCCACGTGCCTCACATGTTCTGCCTCTGTACGACTATATACGACCAAATCATCGCCATAAACCTCGACATTCTCCAGGTTTCTGAGCAGCAATGTCATTAGTCTTCGAAACGTAAAGGGTGCGCCCGCCAATCCAAAGGGCATTCGTTTAAATTGATACTGCTTCTCCCGTACGATGAATGCCGTTTTGCTGCGATCAGTGTCTTTTATTGGTAGCTGCCAATACTCCGACCGTAAATCTAACACTGTGAACACCGTAGCACTCTGTAGACGATCTAATGTCTCCGCTATTGTTGGCATTGCACATGGTTTTATTTCTGTCACGTTATTCAGTTCTCTAAAGTCAACACAGAATCTATACTTTCCATTTGGCTTCTTTACCAAAAGTACCGGTGAGCTGTACGAGCTATCTGCTTCTTCAATTAGACCTGCTTTTAACATCTCCTGTACCTGCTGGTTTATCTCAGCTTCCAAATGTACGGGGACCCGTCGTGTTGTGAAGATGGTTACTTCTTCGTTCTTTATCGGAATTTCATGTTTGACTTTATTACAAAACCCGTACGGTTCTCCGTCTCCCGTGAACAACTTCTTATATTTTGTGAGCACCTCGTTAATGTTCTGTTTCTTTCCAATGTCCTCTTTTGCTACTCTAACCTCAGCCACCTCGCTGCTTTCATGTATTGTCAGTGTGCCGTACTTTGTAATCACCTTCTTACTTCTTGTATCAATAATTGCTCCTACTTCTCTCAAGAAATCTGCTCCTAGTATTGGTCTCGACAAGTTCGTAGTCACTACAAAGGGAAACTGTATTTTCGAACTGCCGATTTTCACGATATCATTTGAGACTCCGAGGATTTTTAACACGTGGCCGCCGATAGTGTTAACAACTAATGCACTCGGCCTGATACCTCTACACCGCTCTTTGTCTATTAACGAAACTGCCGCCCCTGTATCAATCAGGCAAACTACCTCTCGCTCGTTTATCCCTACTCTCGCATAGACCGCCCCCTTATCTACTAAGGCCAAAACCCCCAGTTTCGAAAGACATAAAGAACAACTTGTGTATGGTCTAAAATATTTACGTCTTCGTCTTGTTGGGCAATTCCTCTTCCAATGTCCGGTTCCTCCGCGAATGTAGCATTTATTATTTCTTTCACCCTTTATTCGTAACGCTGCCACCTCTCGTTGTAATTCTTCTATCTTCTTCACGACATCATCAGCCTGTCTCTCACACGCCACCGAGGCGACTGTTGAGTTCATCAGTTGTCTTGTTACTTTCGCCAGCTCGGTGACGTCCATTGGTTGTGCCGCGTTCACCAGTCTCAACTGTTGGCCAATCTCTGCAGGCACACTTTCAATGAATTGCGAGGCTAGCAGCTGTGCCTGCGACTCCTCATCCAAATTCGGCAGACCCCGACGCAGCAATCTTGTCAACTCCACGGCCAGCACGAGTGGGTCGCCGTCCACCGACAGCCGCGCCTCTCGGAACTTCTGCAGCGCGTCCTGCCTATCCGCCGGGCTGTCGAACTCCAACAGCAGCCTTTCCGTCACCGCCTTCCAGTCAGCGTCCTCCACACTATCGTACACCGCTCTCGCCCTGCCTCTTAGTAGAGTCCCCAGCACCACCGCCTTCGCCTTCCGTTCCTTGACTCCGACCAGCTCCGCCACAGCCTCGAACTCCTTCAAGAAGCTCCTTACATCTCCGTCTTCAAACTCCCGAGGCCATGGTATCTTCATCCTGTGTGGAGGCAGCGACACCAATTGAGAAATCTGAGGTAGGCTCAATAGATTGTAATTGGCAAATTTACACTCTTAGTCAATTAAAAACGATAACATTACATTGAACACTCCATTTGCACACCATCTTTGAGTCCTGACTTCCAACGCTCCAGCCTTCTTCCATTCCTGCTGTTGCTTCCTTTACTTCCTGTCGGGGCTCTAAATCTTTCTTGCTTTTGCTCTATTTGCTTTCCGTTTTCCTCTTCTGACCGTAAGACATCTTCTTTCACGTCCATTCTTATACTACTTATATCGTTCGTATAAGTAGCACACACCACAATAGTAGAATGATGCCGCTGTAGCTCTCACATTTGCTAAGATCTCATTTTTCGGTATCTTGATGAGGTGTCTTTCTTTCCAGTCTGTTGCTACTTGTTCTTCATCCCAAATCTTGCTGAAGAGTGGGTGGAATATCTTTGTAATAACTGCTATGACTGCTTTCAGTGCCTCAGCTGGAATGTTGTCTTTTCCTGTTGCTGTTTTTCACTCTTGATTATTCTGATGGACATCCTGATTTCTTCGATGGTTAGTAGGTCGACATCATTTGAGAGGTTTATAACTTCTGCTTCGATTTTGGCTGGGTTCAGTGGGGTTGGTCTTCAAAGTGCCCTACCTACTTGTTTCACTGTTCTTGAATGGTCATCCTGATTTGCCATATATTACTGCAAGCTTCGTTGTATTGTAAAGTTTTCTCATGTTTCCTTCTCATTGCCAGATCTTGAATATATTTTAACTTATCAGCTCTGATACTCCACTTGACTTGCTTGTTTGCTGCTGTGTATTCAGCTTTAATTTCTCTGCTCTCGTTCGGCTGATAATGATTGCTGCCATCTTGTTTTTCCTTTCCTGAATCTGATCTAGCGCATCAATATCGATCCATTCCTTATGATGGTTCTTCTTGTGACTCGAGACCTCATGACATGTTGGTGTTACCGTTTCTTTAATCCCTTTCCAATTGTTCTTCATGGTAGTTTCCTCTTCATTGAGTAGATCGTGAAAGGCCTGGAACTTGTTGCTGATAGCTATCTTGAATTCTCTGAGTTTGCCAGTATCCCGAAGAAGGGTTGTATTAAAGCTTTGTGATGATTTTCGACCAGCTGACCAGGGCTTCTTGAGTTTCAGTTTCATATTGGCCTCTTCTGATTGATGATCTGAACCCATGTCAGCTTCTCTCTTGATCCTCACGTCCTCCATGGTCCTTCCGTACTGTATACGATAGTATCATTTAAATGCATAATTTTAAACACTGAGTTAAATTTATTTCATGAACAAATAAACTGCAGAGTAGGATAAGCCGTCTTTTTCTGAAGAATGATATTCAACTGTCTTTCATACAATTGACGATTATTAATGTACAATCGCTTAGAATATGCTGATGACATGGTTCTATTTGGTGAAGATGCTGACAAAATAAAAAGTCTTCTGACTACCCTAAGCAACAATGCAAGCATGTTCGGGATGCGGTCCCCCCCCCCCCCGAAATTCAAAATGTTGCTTCAGGATTGGCCTGCATCGACACCTGAACTAATGACGGGGAGTGAATCAGTTGAGCGTGTTGACTGCTTCGCTCATCTCGGGAGTCTCATTAGTGCTGGTGGTCTGGTTTCTGACGAAATCTCAGCGCTGATACAGAAGGTTTGACTGGCTTTTGCCAACGTGCATCACAAATCGCATGGGTGAGATATCAGTCTACTAACCAAAGGACGAGTTTACTGTGCAACAGTTCTCTCCATCATACTTTACGGATGTGAAACATGGCAACTGACTGGCTTGACCATCGGTTCGAAGCGCAAGCATTTACTTACTTATCTTGCTTATTTTTAAACATGGATATTTGAAATTGTTTCAATTATTGAATATTCTTACTAGCTTAATACGGAGAAATCAATAATTAGTCATGATTTTCAATGATCATATTAACCTATGCATCATAACCGTTTTCTTTTCTTGTTTCTTTCGTAATCATTCTTTTTAGATACAACAAATTCCAGTTTAAAAGCAGATACAAAATTTTCTTATGTATATATTACAGAAGAGGATTTTCATTACAAACGTAAACAGGGTGAATTCATCGAATGGGGATTATTTAATCGTGCTTATTATGGGACTTGTGAATTAACTGTACGACAATTAGTGAATGAAGGCCAAATATGTTGTATATCCTTGAGACCTGATGTAAGTTTTTTTGTATTAGTAAAGGATATTTTTAATTTTCTTGTTGTCGGTATTCAGTACTGAAACTGATGAACTTTTATTGTGAAATGGACATCCTGGGTGAATTGTTTCGGTATCGCGACCCGATTTCGAATCAATCCGCTGAGTGTTTACATTGAATAACATAGACTGATCAGTTACAATCCTGAATATTGAATAAATGAAATATATTAACTCTTAAACGATACAATTGTACCTGTTAAATAATTTATTGCCTGTCCACAATTCAGTGCCTAAGTGAATAAAGTGTTAGTGTTTGATATGTTAGTTACTAAACTAGTGTCTTAATTTGATGACTATCAACATTGTGATGCAACCATGTCTAGAAGAAAGGCCTCGAAAAAGGACGAAACATATGTCCTGAATTTGATTTCTGCCCGTATACCGAATATAAGATAAATTAATATAGTTGTTATATGAAAAAAAAGTATTTTAAAAGTAGCATGATGAACTTGTTAATGCAGATTTTGTTATTGACTTTAATTTTGTGTTGATATTAGAGAGATTTGGTTTGGTTTAAATACATAAGATTAGTATGATAATCTTCATAATAATTATTGGGTGTAGTATAGTGATAAATCTTGTGATCACATGTTGGTAGCTAGTTTGTTTAAATTGTATAACAAAATACTTATATAACATGTTAAGCCCAACAATCTGTTTCATTTCAAAGACAAATTGGAAATGAATTTCAAAGACTATACAAAATTAACAATGTATTTGCATTGATAATCAACACAGTTATCACATCATTAAAACTCATATCATCATACAGGATCATAGAAATTTCTTTTCTAACTTTTGAATTTGACAGCTGTAACTTCAAACATCATGTGATCATATTCGTCTGAAATCTTAAAAAGTTTGTATTTACTTATGACGTATAGAAGATGTAATTGTAGATATGTAATTGAAGTAATCGGTACTAATTTAGTAGTTGAAACACTTGGCAGTAACTGCAGGCCCCAAGACAAGATATGATAATAATATTACTAAGAAATTATATGTGTATATATATTTTTTAAGGCTTTATCTATATAGCAATACACATGATCATATTAAACAGTGTTTGATTTGGTTATCTCATTCAGTCTTACATACTCTCTGTGTGTTAATGTTGTATTTTATAAATTTTAAGTTTGAATGTTTCTTCCAAGTTCCAGTAATATAAACAAGTATTTGATAATCAAAATTCCCAACAACCCCGAAGGACTTATATCATTCAAAGATTACTTACTTACTTACGCCTGTCATACCCCCAATGGAACATAGGCCGCCCACCAGTTTTCTCCAACCAACTCTGTCCTAGGCTTCCCTTTCCAGTTCTGTCCAATATTTGTTCATTCTTCTCATATCTTTCCCTATTTCTCGGCGTAATGTGTTCCTTGGCCTTCCTCTTTTCCTTTTGCCTTGAGGGTTCCATGTGAAGGCTTTCCTTGTGACTCAGTTGGGTACTTATCTCAATGTGTGTTCTATCCGTTCCCAGCGCTTCTTCTTGATTTCCTCCTCCACTGGAATCTGGTTTGTTCTCTCCCACAGTTCGTTGTTGCTGATGGTTTCTGACCAACGAATCCGAAGTATTTTGCGCAGGCAACTGTTAATAAACACTTGTGTCTTCTGGATGACGGCTTTGGTAGTTCTCCAAGTCTCCGCACCATACAGTAGAAGTGTCTTGACATTTGTATTGAAAATCCTTATTTTGGTGTTGATTGATAGTTGTTTTGAGTCCCAGATATTTTTCAACTGTATAAATGCAGCCCTTGCTTTGCCAATCCGTGCCCTCACATCTGCATCGGATCCACCTTTCTCGTCGATGATGCTGCCCAGATATGTAAAGGTGTTGACGTCCTCCAAGGCATCTCCATCAAGAGTGATTTGATTGGAGCATGTTGTTTTGCATCGGAGAATTTCGCTTTTTCCTTTATGTATGTTGAGACCTACTGCTGCAGAGGCTGCTGCTACACTGGTCTTCTCTTGCATTTGTTGTTGCTTGTGCGATAGAAGAGCCAGGTCATCTGCGAAGTCCAGATCGTCCAGCTGCGTCCTAACTGTCCAGTTGATACCGTGCTTCCCTCCAGACGTCGACGTCTTCATAATCCAGTCGATGACCAGGAGAAAGAGTAAGAGTGAGAGTAAGAAACCTTGCCTGACACCGGTCTTCACCTCGAAAGAGTCTGTCAGCTGACCTCCGTGCACGATTTCGCAGTTGAATCATAAGAGTTCCGTATGATGTTGACTATTTTCTCAGGCACACGGTAGTGTCGAAGAAGCCTCCACAGTGTTTCCCTATCCACGCTATCGAATGCTTTCTCGTAGTCGATGAAGTTGATGTAGAGTGGTGAGTTCCATTCAATTGATTGTTCCACAATGATCCGTAATGTAGCAATTTGGTCAGTACACGATCGATCCTTACGAAATCCGGCCTGTTGATCTCGAAGTTGGGCGTCTACGAAGTCCTTCATTCTGTTTAACCATACCCTGTTGAAGACTTTGCCTGGTATTGAAAGAAGAGTGTTCCCTTTGTAGTTCTCACACTTGCTCCGGTCGCCTTTCTTTGGTTTTTTGATCAGGTATCCTTCTTTCCAATCTGATGGTACTTGTTCCTCATCCCAAATCTTCTTGAAGATTATGTAAAATATTTTGGCAGTTGCTTCTACACCTGTTTTCATTGCCTCTGCTGGAATGTTGTCTGATCCTGCTGCTTTGCCGCTCTTGATTTGTCTGATGGCCATACTGATCTCCTCAATCGTAGGTGCGCCAATATTAATTGGGAGGTCCGTGGATGCTGCTTCGATGTTGGATGGGTTCAGTGGAGCTGGTCGATTCAGGAGTTCCTTAAAGTGCTCTACCCACCTATTTCGCTGTTCTTCAGTGTTGCTGATTACTTTCCCTCCCTTGCTTTTCACTGGTCGTTCTGGTTTACGATATTTTTCAGCGAGCTTCTTTGTTGTTTCGTACAATTGTCTCAAGTTTCCGTCTCTTGCAGCCTTTTCCGCCATCATTGCTAGATCTTCCACATATTTTCGTTTGTCAGCTCTGATGCTCTTCTTCCCTTCCCTGTTTGCTTCCGTGTATTCAGCTTGTGCCTTAACTTTCTCTGCTCTTGTTCGGCTGACATTCACTGCTACCTTCTTGTTCCTCCTTTCTTCAATTTTTTCAATAGTACCAACAGAGATCCACTCCTTGTGATGCTGCTTCTTGCGACCAAGGACCTCCTGACATGTTGAAGTGATTGCCTCCTTAATCCCTTTCCAATTGTACTCCAATGTTGCTTCCTCTCCATTGTGTAGATCCTGAAAGGCCTAGAACCTATTGGTGAGGGCTATCTTGAATTCGTTGATCTTTACAGTATCTCGAAGAAAGGCCGTATTAAATTTGTGTGATGTTGTCTGTCCCGTTGTCCAGTGCTTCTTTAGTTTCGTTTTCATTTTGGCGATCAGCAAATGGTGATCTGAAGCTAAATCAGCTCCTCTCTTGGTTCTCACATCCTCCATAGTCCTTCTGAACGTTTTGTTGATACAGATATGATCAATCTAGTTTTGAGTAGTGTGATCCGGTGAAATCCATGTGGCTTTGTGAATGCGTTTGTGCGGGAATATTGTAGGATTTAATTTTGTCCTACAGATGTAATTCTAAAACGTAAACGCAAATACCGCCGATGACAGAATCCAGAGTGAAACTATAGTTAACAGAAGACAATTCGGTTTTAAACTTTATCTGTTTCTAAACAAAAAGAAAACGATTAATTTAGTACAATAAGTAAGGAAATTACAATTACCAAGCAGGATGAGCAAACGTACCGGACAGTATAGCGTGTCTTTAGAAAATGAATTAAAAACATGAGTCGCATCTATATAAAATAAACTAATAACATCCTTCCATCGATAGGCCGTTCACAACAAAGAAAGTTCATAGACCGGTCAGACTAGATGACGTGGTGAGCGCTTAACCAATCTGATTGGTTAGTTATGACATAACTACAATTAGTTATAAAATAACTAACAAATATTGTGCCACCGATGACCAGTTTGTTGAAGGCACATAGGTTTGCAAATCTCTCATCGTTTTCGTTCCTTTCTCCCAGTCCATGTCGTCCCATGATGTCTTCATATCCAGTGTTGTCCATTCCAACCTTGGCATTCAGATCTCCCATAAGAATCGTCAAATCCTTTGGTGAACATTTCTCGACGATTGACTGCAGCCTTTCGTAGAATTGATCTTTAACGCCGTCATTGTAGTCATTGGTAGGTGCATAACATTAGATGACGTTCATTGTAATGTCTGCTTTCTTCGTTTTGAAGGATGCTTTAATGATCCTCGGTCCATGAGATTCCCATCCTATCAGTGCCTTTTGTGCATGTATGGACAGCATCAGTGCAACTCCTTGTGTATGTGAAGCGTTTTCCTCTTTATGACCAGAGTATAACAGCAGTTCTCCTGAAGCAAGTCTCACTTGTCCTACCTGTGTCCAATGCGTTTCACTGATGCCGAGCACCTGGAGGTTGTATCTTTTCATTTGTGCCGCAACTTGAAATGGTCTTCCAGTCTCCCACAATGTACGAACGTTCCATGTACCTAAAAGAATGTTTGGTCTGGTTGTCAGAAGAGGCATCAGCCCCGTGACTCTCGAGGGAACTCGGCTTTCATCACGCGACGTCATAATTCTTCTTGCAACTCCCAGGGCAGAGTTAAAATGGTTTGAATTATTTTTTCTGGTTAGTGTTTTTTTTTTTGACAAGTTAGTTTTAGTTGGGATGGGGTCGCCAACCCCATGTCCAACCCTCCTCGTTTACCCGGGCTTGGGACCGGCAGTAGCCACGAAGGTTTTACTGGCGGAGTTATTCAAAGATTACCTCATATAATATTAAGGCGTTCCATTCTAACAAATAATAATGCAATTAGATTCGAGATAAAATAGATTCTGTTATTTAATCTTCTATTATTGAAATGATGTATTTAGACTAATAAGGCAAATTCAAACACAATAAAAATCGAAGTACCACCTCTAGCACTAATATATTAATTGTTATGTGAATAACAATCGAATGAATACAGAATGTGTAATTTGTTATATTTGAAAATAGTTGTCAGACTATACCTACATCTTTCAGACTTGACTTCTGGTTAGCGTTTTTTTTGGCAAGTTAGTTTTTGACGGAATGGGGTCGCCAACCCCATGTCCAACCCTCCTCCTTTACCCGGGCTTGGGACCGGCAGTAGCCCCGAAGGTTCTACTGGCGGAGTTTACATCTTTGAGCGTTCACTGTAATTCCAGAATTTAACGCTGCAAACACTAATGTATATTATTCAGCTGACTGCATCAGTTCCCTTAGTCATGATCTTGTTCATTCCATCATTTCGTCGTGAAAGATCTACAAAATCCAACATCTAACAACTATTGACATTTCTCAAACCTGTTTTAATCATATTTATTTTCTATGAGATATTCCCAATATGAGTATCATTTTTATCAAATAAAATGTCCTATATTTCCTGACAAGTTATACTATATTTTGATATCCTTTCACTTGGAGTTAATAAATTTAGTTTTCGTGAACACCTATCACTTGCTGTTGATATTAATTAGTTCAGATAAAAGCAACTGATAACACAATCATACAATGTATTGTCTGTTATACAAGGCCTGACAATGATTTTTATTACTTGTAAGGGCTTATGTTTGCGCTTTGATATTACTGAGAATTGTGTTCGACTAGTCTACCTAACTGCTCTCTAGAACTTCATTGATTTGTAGCTAAAGTTAATATCAAGAGATACTCTCACTTGATTAATTAATTTACTGTACGGGTTATTAACAAAAGAATAATATAAATCTTTTTAAATCATAATATTTCAACTTTTAAAATTCTTCAGTCTCCGTAAACCTCCAATACTAATAACAATAATATGCTCACAAGTGACTTGCTTCGAGATGTAACTTGCAGTTCAAGTGAGAAGCTGTGACCACTAGAGTTCACTGTCAAAGGTGAAACAGTTATCCACTGCAGGTGATGGATCAAAGGTTGCGCAAAATCATGGATTGATTGGGGTCAGACATTAACATCGTTGGATACCAACTCAGTGGTCTAGGGTTTAAGTATCCATGCTCAAGACCGAAGATCCTGGGTCCAATTTCCCCATGCGTAGTTGTAGATATTTGTTGCTGAGCTGTGCAACACTAGGATGAACTGGCCATGTGGTGCCTCCATGTATTTTAATGGTGAACTAGTTAAGATCACTTGGTGATTTCAACTGTGAACTATTCGTTCACTTTTAAGTAGAACGTTAAATACAACTTTCGTAATAAGTAGTGTAGTGTTCACATGCAATTTATGATGAATATAATTAATCTTATGTCTAAACACAGTTAAAATGTGTCTAGACTGCAAAATACTTAATCAACACAAAAAATATAAGTAGGTGTCGACAGCATTAATTTTAATCAATGCATATTTTCAATTTGATTTACCACAAATAGTATCCATTTACTAATTGAAATTTCAATAAAATCATTATTTCGTAAATTATAAAATCAAATTTTCATTAATGAAACTTTTTTATGATTATTGTTATTTTTTAGTCTTTGCGTAAAATTCGTTCAAGTGGTCTTGCACCATATGTCATATTTATTTCACCACCTGAACGAGTGGATGATTTACAACGTTTACGCAAGAATTTAAATCTGTCTGGTGATTGTTCTGTAAGTTTGAAATTGTTTCATCAATTGAATAATTAGTGAATTACAGTTCATATGATGTAATTGTTGATCATCAATAAACTTCATTGTGACATGTACAAGTTTGTCTGTGTGCGTGTGCATGTGTGTGGTATGTGCATATTAAAAGATTCTTATGCTTTGTTTCAAGTATTTGTTAAATGTATTCTGATTCATTGAATGTGTGAATATATCATGATTTATTCATTAATTAAGTCTGATTTATAAATTATAAACCATATTTTTGACATTATAAAACTTATTTACATAGACTATAATGACGACAGTCTTAGTTTAATTTTAATCGGTGTTAAGATTATGCCAGTTTCAGCCTAAAGTTTATGAGGTATAGTATGTTGTTTTGTTTCTTTAATTAATTTATAAAGATCACCTTGAAGATATTCTTTCTCCTTTTTCTTACATAGTCTTGTTTGTTCATAATGACAGTTGTGATAATTAACTTATCGTTTCCTAACTGTTTTAATGCATATAAGTTATCATTAGTTAGATGTAATAATGTGGCTACAATTTTCTTTATCAGTTAGCCTACTTAAAAATTTGAGCTACCTGTTTCCCAACACCAAAATATTTCAATAAGTTATCTCTCTTTCGGTTTGTTTCACCACGCCAAATATGTCTGTCCACTAATATTCAAGCTCCTATATTAAAAATTTCCCGACCTATTGATTCACAGGGTATAAATTAAACGCAATCCGCAACATCTCAGTGCCTGACAGTATGCATTGAAAAGCGTGAACGCTAATGAGATGTCGATTTGTGGACTGCTTCCTTCGAACTGTCGATCACTAATTGTTTTATAAAGGAAACGTATTGAAAAATCATCTTATACTAAACATATAATATTGAATAAAGTCTATTATTATTTTCGGGCAGAGTTTTGGAGGTTTTGTGTTTTTACACATTTGAAATCATCATTCAATCAATCAAAAACTGCCCGAAAATATCGTAACAGTGCTCACTAATGACTAGCTTCGTGAGGAAATTCTCGGAGTTCTAGTTGAGAAGACGTGACTAATGGAGTTCACCCCTGTCGGGTGAAGGCAGTAACTACTAAAGACAAATGGGTGAGGTGGCGCTAACTTCCGTAGATCAATCGGAGTTAGATATTAACAGCCTTGGATGCCGGTCCACTGGTCCTATGGTTAGGCGTTCGCGCACAATACCGAAGGTCCCGGCTTCGAATCCTGCGAGGCGCAGGACTAGTGGGTGCGGATTGCTGATCAGTCCCATACCAGGACGAAACGGCCGTCTTTCAGTGCTTCCATGTTTCTAATGGTGGTCTAACAATCATTGACTGATGATTTCAAATGTCTGTTATTATTATTGCCATTATTTACATCATTCGCTGTTTCAATAAAAAAAAGTAAATCAGTGCCTGTTCAATCAAAAATATAGTATTGAAGGGTGATAATTGTGGTCTATTTATTTAAAAATGAAGACCCTTTTTAAGCAGCATTATTTTTTGGCTGCTTAGATTGCTATCAGATAAATTAGTCATAATAATATCCAGTGTGTTAAATTTGTCAACATTCTTTTTTAACTTTTCAGTTTGATGCGTGTTGAAGCATTTTTTTCCCTCAAACTTTCTAATCTGTTGTTGTTTTGACGATTGATGACAATACTGTTCTGTGTGTTTGAAAAATTCACTTACAATTGGTTATAACTCTGAATTCATACTAGCCTTATAGTATTGTACCAATTGCACATTTTCCTTGATAATTTAATTTGATTGCAGGATTTTAAGTAAACATAATATAACAGTGTATTTTAATGCCAGTGATACTATAAAATCAAATTTAGTAAAAGTTAAGGATAGGCTCCCAAAAGAAAAACAATAGAAGGTTGTCTGTGAGATTATTTGTCATGATTGTTATGTAGTTTCCTCGGCGGAAACATCTAGATAGTTGAATATGAGGTTGAAGGAACATGATCAGTATTTGAAATGTGTTTCCAAATCCTTGGTTAGTCTCAAGATACTTGAAAGTAGATCTTCAATCGCGTTACACGATCAAGAAATGGCACACAAGATCAACTTCACTGGAACCAACATAGTTCAGAAAGGGCTTGACATGCATTAAGATTGACAACAGAAGTGCTGTATTTATGGGTTAATCAGAGCATCCTATGCAAAACATATAATTGAGACAGGGCATAAGATTGACATCAAGGCAGCCATCAAAACATTGTATAGAAATGTTGAAGGACGAACTTTGAGGTTTATAGAGGGCTTGGCTATTCGTAAATAATCCCCACCCTTGAGTGTTCAAAAACAATTAGTCATAACTTTGAATTTACCCTGGTAGTATCTAAGCTTAAGGTATTGTGACAGTTTCCTACCCTCTCTTATTCTTTTCATATTACCTTAATTTTCTCTCTCCTTTATTTACAATTATCACCTTATGTCTATTTGAACTTTTATTTAATTGACATTTTATTAATCTTCATATAAAATGCCTTGACAAGTAAATATGTGTGACCAGATTGTTCGAAATGTGTAGCGCGAATACATTGCATTTTTCAGTTCAATTACGTCCGCTCATTGATCTATCAAAAAGAATGGTGTTTTATTAGTCACCCCTCTGATAGATGGTCATTAGAAAGTAATTAGACATCATACTTATCTACCCTAACTCCGCCAGTAGAACCTTCGGGGCTACTGCCGGTCCCAAGCCCGGGTAAAGGAGGAGGGTTGGACATGGGGTTGGCGACCCCATTCCGTCAAAAACTAACTTGCCAAAAAAACGCTAACCAGAAACTTATCTACCCTGTTTATTTCACGTGTACCGTTGTTCTAATACAAATTAACTTGGATATTTGAATATAACTACATATTTTCAATTTCAATAAACACACTCGAATTTTTAAAAACATTTACAATTTGCATTTTACTTTTTACTTTTAATCATTGTGATTATGACTCAAATTGCCTCGATTAGTTTAACATTTTCGTATAAATATTCATGTATATTCGAGTAAAGCCTGATGACGATCTAATCTAAAACAATATTGTTCGCTTGTATGTGTTGTTTTAATCAATAAATGATTGACATTCAGTCACCGAATGTCAACCATCAGAAACATTAAGTTACACATACACATAAACAAATTTATTTTTATACTGTCAACTTTTCTCTTGATTCACATTTCATTAGTTCATGTCATCCCACTTAGTCAAGTTACCATCTGAAAATGATTTGATTTGATTTGATTGTTAAATATCATCAATTCTTTGATAATTTTGGTTTCGAATATAACCTTGAAGAAGTCCGGATGATAACTGGACAAAACGTTGGGATCATTTAAATTCCAATTGCTAGGATTGTTTCAAATATAGTTAATGTTAGACCACTATTAAAAGCCTATAAGCACTGGACAGCCGTTTCATCCTTGTATGGAACTCGCCAGCAATGCGCATCTATGACCTTTGCACGTAGAAATCGAATTCAGGAACTTTGGTCTTGCGCGCAAATGTTCAACCTATAGATCGCTGAACCGGCATCTAAAGGTGTAAGTGTTTCACTTCATTCAATCTACGATACTGCACGATCTCATCCATCCAACACTATTGAACTCCACTGTTCACGACTTCTCACTAGAACTCCGGGAATTTCTTCTCGAAGATAGTCACTAAAGAGCACATGATAATAATTGTCATTACAGAGTTGGAGATTGTTGCATTTCGTTGAAATCGTGAATGTTAAACCATCATTAAAAACCTGGAAGCAAATATTCAAAGTAATTAATCCTAACCAGTGAAAGCCAACAGGCACTAGTAAAAATGACAATAACCTAACTATTCAAGAACAAGTTTGCATGTTGGAATTGTTAGTTGGAAAGTGAAGTTTTATAACAATGTATTTTTTTTAGAAAACTCAAATATATATTTATTTACCATTGTTTGTACATTATTTTACATGATCAATAATTTTGTTTCACATTTATTCACATTTTATTCTTTCATAGCATGAAGAATTGAAAGCATGCATTGAAACAAGTCGTAGAATGGAATTACGTTTTGGTCATTGGTTTGACCGGGTCATTATTCCTGAAACATTGGATTCAACTGTGACCGAATTAATTCGTCTAGCTATTAAACTTGAACGTGAACCAACTTGGGTACCAAGATATTGGTTAGATTTAGATTAAATCACTATTTGTACGCTTGTGTTCATCATCAACATCAACATCATCATCATGATCGTGATCGTGGCCAGTCTCATTCAATGTGGCATTTCTTTTGTTTATTTTCTTTTTTTATTTACTGCATAATTCCTATCATGAATAAACAACTGCTGAAAACTAACTTAATCTTTAATATCATTGTATACACTCACTCACCCTCACACACACACACACACACACACACACAAAAGGAACAATTTTCTATAGTTGATTTTAAACAACCGACGAAATAAAAATCACTTCATCTTCCTAAGGCAGACTTTAATGCTGCTTATCGTTTATTGTATTGTTGTGAATTAATTTTTTTTTGTAAATTGAAACCACTCCCTCTGATGCAACTTCATTTTGAATATTGTCATTAATATTAATATTACTTATTTCTTTATTTGCCTATTCATTTATTTAATTTTTACAATTACTATGATTTTTAATTAATATTCGACATCAATATTTCCATGAATTATTTCTGTTTTTCGTTGAACACTTTTCTTTTCTTGTATAAAGTAAAGTAATAATTATTTGATCGTTTTTTGTTTCTTATACAAAACTAATTATGAACAATAAGACAGATTGACTAGTTGTTGTTTTTTAGTTGAATTTATGAAATAACCTTTTTAAAAAATTCGTGTGATTCTTCTTCTTTTTTTATTAACAAATTATTGCATTGCGGGTTTGTTGCGAAGATTGTCAAGTTTTATTTGTAACCATGAATCGATCAATGTTAGACCACCATTAGAAACCTGGAAGCACTGGTTAGGGCGTTCGCGCCCAATACCGAAGGTCCTGGGTTCGAATCCTGCGAGGAGCAGGAGTCGTGGATGCGCACTGCTGATGAGTCCCGTACCAGGACGAAACGGCCGTCTTTCAGTGCTTCCAGGTTTCTAATGGTGGTCTAACATTGATCGATTCATGGTTACAAATAAAACTTAACAAATTATTGTTGATACGAAACACACACTTATATTCTCATTATTAGTCAATTAATAACGATAGGGATACTTTGTAGTTGATCATTCCAATTGAATTAGAACGTACTGGTGTTTGGAAATTCTGGCAGAACACTGAGAAAACTTAATTGATCTGGAAAAGTATGACGTATTTGCTCTATGAAAATTTCGAACAATCTGATCACACTTATACTGGTGTCAAGGCCTTTTTTGATATGAAAATTAATAAAGTATTAGCTAAATAGAACTTCAAATAAACATAACATGATAATCGTAAATAAAGAAAAGAGAGAAAATAGGAAATTGTTTCATTATTACCCTAGGCCATGAAATGACTTCAAGAATACCAGAGTTAAGTTCAAGGGGAGGGTGATTTAAATTTCAAAATAGACAAGGTTTCCATAAACCAAAACCTTTATTAATTTCCAAATAAAATCCCTAGACAAGTAAGTATATGTGTAACCAGATTGTTCGAAATGTATCACGCAAATACATCACATTTTTCCAGATCAACTAAAATCTGCTCATTGTTCTAACACAATTTATAAAAGGGACTAATTGTTTAAAATTTATAAAAATTCTGCTTAATAATATATTGATTATTGAAACTATAAATTACATACACAAACAACTAATTGACTAGAAGTGATGATGAGTTCTGCAAAATATAAATTTAAAAAAAAGTGCATAGTAAACATTCGTTTCAAGTGAATCAGTTAGGTTTATGCATAATTTCGTTCAAGTAGCAGAAAGATGCATTTTATTGTTCAGACTGATAAATGTTTCTTTAGCTAAGCTGAACAGTAGTAGTACACTTGATGATAAGATTTTTTTGAAAAAAGGAATTGTATATTGCATAAAGTACACTTAAAGTTGTTAGTGAGGATCAATTTCGAAATATTTTTAAAACAATGTTTACTTGTTTGGAGACGGTGTGAATAATGGCTTCATGTTAAATTTTATGGACAAGATTTTACACATTTGAAATCATTAATCAATCATCATTGTTAGACCACCATTAGAAACCTGGAAGCACTGGACGGCCGTTTCGTCCTAGTATGGGACTCCTCAGCAGTGCGCATCCACGACTCCTGCTCCTCGCAGGATCCGAACCCGGGACCTTTGGCATTGTAGGCGAACGCCTTACCATCGGACCACTGGGCCGGCATCCAACGGTGTTAATGTCTAACTCTGATTGATCTAGGACAAGATTTTGTTGGGAACGAGAAAATGAATCTTTCATAAAAAGGACGTTCACACAAATCTGTCAGTTTAAGAATCTTCAGTTTAGTTTATCGAAAATATTTTTGGTAGTATATATATATGACAAGGTCAGTATTACTGTAAATCATGTATAGAAAAACTTCTTAATAATAATAATATTAATAGCAACAAATTTGTGAGGAGAGGTAAGATCTTCAAAAGGTCGAAAACCGACTTAAATTCTATTGAAGAAAGGTTCTTATTTCGAGCCTGGAATTCCGGAGTCATATCGAAAATTTTATGATGATATTATACTTAAAAGATGTATTCATGCTATGAATCTGATGAATACGTTTATTTGGGACACACCACAAAGCAAAGCGGAGAAGGCTGTTGAGCCAACTCCTAGGATTACAATGCGAACGAATGGGCGAAGGAAGCGAATGAACAGGCGAAACGTGTTGGAGAAGGCTAATGAGCCAACTCCCAGAGATAGAGCGTGACTAAGAATATATAGTCAGACAAATATAAGACACATGTGACAAGCGAAATCGGCATGCACACACATGAATAAAAGCGACGAATGATTGACCAGGTCAAAAGCAAGCGAGACAACTCATGTGAGCTTATGCAAACCAGACAATAGTAATGTGGTGAGCGCTACTTATAAGTAGTATATGACGCGAGTGTAAACGTAATATCTGGCAGCAGAAGATCGGGGAAGATCAAGAAAGGAAGAGTGGGAACACAATGGAATTTGTATGAAACGCATGAATAGTGAAATGTCAAACAATGGATTGATGATGGATTTGCAAATTAACCCTTTACGATATGGTTTTCCTATTTTACTGAGAAACTCTGTAATTTTCGATGAATACAATTCGGTTGCCCTCACCTGTGTTCTCCTTCACTACATTTGGTGTCGTTGCCTACTCAGAAGATGAAGATTCCATGGCCGAACGAGTTTGAGGACGGAGATGTGCGGAGCTTCCTGAAGAATTTTTGGGCTGTGGCGGAGCTGGTGGGCGTGAAGAAGCCGAAGGCGAAGTTGGTGGTGCTGGAGACGCTGCTGAGAGGTAGGTCAAAGGCCGTATATGACAGCTTGGACGGCGATGACGGGGAGATGACGTGGGAGACAGTCACCGGGCGGCTGATGACGGAGTTTGACAGCCCAGTGGACAAAGAGAAGGCGCTGCAGGAGTTCCGGCTGGCGAAGCTGTCGGCTGATGGTGACCCGCTGGTTCTTGCTGTGGAGCTTGCCAGATTGTTGCGCCGTGCGCTGCCGAATATCGATGAGAATTCGGAGGCGCAGTTGTTGACGTCGCAGTTTATCGAGAGTGTGCCTGCCGCCTTGTCCCAGCAGCTGAGACTAGTAAACGCATCGCGACCTATGGATATCGGTGAACTGGCGAAGGTCACTCGTCAGCTGATGACACGAACAGTAGCTCCGGTCGGGTGCGAAAAGCAGGAGATAAATACTTTCTAGAAGAAGATTGTGGAGTTAAAGCGTGAGATAGCAGCATTACAAGTGGATCATAAAAGGAACGATAAATTTTACGCTTGTGGAGGGCCAGGACATTGGAAGATAAACTGTCCAAGAAGACGACGACGAAGATATTTTAAACATTATAGCGTGTTTTCTTTCCACCCCGGGAATCGGGAGGTTCTTGCACTAGTAGATAGAGGGGCAATTTATGCCAGAGTGTACATAAATGAACAGGAGTTAGTGTGTTTGATCGATACAGGGGCAGCTATATCGTTAATAAGCAAAGAGCAATGTAAGACAATTAAACCATGTACATTAGCTGTCCACCCCATAGGAAGGCATATGCTAGAGGTGTTGGGGGTATCTAACAGTATTGTAAAAATGAGTGGAGCTGAGATAAATTTTCCGTTCGTGGTAACCACAAGCTTATCGAGACCGATATTAGGAGCAGATTTCCTAAGAGAGGTAAAAGCGATAATTGACTTGAGAGGCGGTAAAATGGTCACAAAGTATGGTTCATTGCCAATACATGAAAGTAGCGAAGTGGCTGAGATAAGGATAACAACGGACGTCTCGACCAAGAAACCAAACATTAACGAGTTATGCGCAAAGTATGCGAAACTGTTCACTGGAGATGGGGAGCCGTATGGATTTTGTGACAAAGTAAAGCATGAAATTCCTATAAGGAACGACCGAGTAAATATATTTGCAACATGTCGTGTCCCGGTGCATTTAGAGGCCGAGGTAAATCGACAGGTCCAGGAAATGTTGAAGGAAGGTATAATTGAGGAAGCAGACAGCCCGTATAGCCTACCGGTACTCTTGGTAAAGAAACCCAATGGAAAGTATAAATTTTGTGTCGACTTTAGAGAACTGAATAATATAACAGACCTGAAACCGTGCGCAATGCCGACAGTAGTAGAAACATTAGATCGGCTACAGAATGCCACGGTGTTTATAGTGCTGGATTTACGGTCAGGTTATTGGCAACTACCTATAAAAGATAGTGATCGCAACAAGACAGCATTTACTATACGGAATAAACAGTATCAATTTAAACGAATGCCGTTCGGGTTGGCTGGTGCACCGTTCACGTTCAGAAGATTGATGACGCTGCTGCTTAAGAATCTAGATAATGTTGAGGTATAGGGCGACGATGTAGTTGTATACAGCCTGACGGAAACAGATCACGTCAAGCATGTGGAAGCAGTCTTAAAGCGAACTGACGAATTTGGGCTTCAAATTAATGAGGAAAAGTCGCAGATAGCGAAAAACAGCGTCATATTGTTGGGACATAAAGTGGGAAATGGAGAAATAAAACCACTACCCGAGAAAATTCTTACCACAAAAAATATTGCAGTACCTAGTTTGAAAAGGAAGTTGAGACAGTTCCTGGGAAGAGCGGCGTTCTATAGTCGGTTTGTCCAGAATTTCAACGAAATAGCAGCGCCCTTATATAAGTTGCTGAGCAACACCAAGTTTACATGGATTGAGGCTGCCAAACAAACGTTCAACCGAATCAAAAACATGCTAGACGATCGTCAGATGACGCTGCGACTGCCTGAACCCGGAAAACTGTTTACAGTGGCCACAGATGCAAGTTATCATGGTATAGGTGCGGTATTGAGTTAGGCTGATGGAGTGGTGGAATACGCAAGTCGCTTTCTCACACCCGCCGGGCAGAAGTATTCAACGATCAAAAAGGAGTGCCTAGCAACCGTGTGGGCAGTAGACGTACCTTTTGGGTAGACGATTTGACATTAAAACTGACCATAAACCCCTGCAGTGATTAAGAACAGCAAGAGATCCCCGAGGGAAGTTGCCGCGGTGGATGATACGTCTGCAAGAATACGACTTCAGTATCGGCCATGTTTCAGGAAAAGAAAACGTAATGGCGGATTACTTGTCAAGATCAGACATGGAAGATGACCTTCCAGTGACAGCATACGCGGTGAATAGTTTAGATGGAGACCCATTAGAACTCATCCGGCAACAGAAAGCTGACCCAAACCTTCGAG